AAATGAATGTGTAGGGGTGGGGAGGGGGGGAGGTGTCTTTTATTGTAAGGCTTTAAAGGGTATATTTGTTTTTGTTTTTGCCAGTCATGGGGCCTGAACTCTAGGGCACTGTCCCTCAGCTTTTCAGCCTTTTCAAGGCTAGTGCTCTACCACTTGAGCCACAGCGCCACTTCCGGCTTTTTTTCTGCATATGTGGTGCTAAGGAATTGAACTCAGGGCCTCATGCATGCGAGGCAAGCACTCTACCAATGAACCACCTTCCCAGCCCCGTTATATATGTTTTAGCCCAGTGGAGTGTTTTCAAGCTTCCAGAACCTTCTAGAGTTCTATGTCTACTGTTTCCTTCATGTTGTTCCTGGGCAGGGATCTTGGGATATGGCCACTCAGGCTCTGGGCAGCTGAGGCTCAGATTCTGGGGCCCTTTGAAGGCACATGGTCAGGTGTGACCTGCAGTGTCTATGATTTATTAGGGAGGCTGATGCCGGACCACTTTTTATTACTGCAGGCACAGCCATAGCCCATCGATTTCCTCTCTCGCTAAACCCTCCTCAACCTGAAGACAGGACACAGCAGTGACCTTTCCTGAAAGCACATGGGACATGCTGAGAAATGCCAATGCTGTCATCACTGCCACTGGTGATGGCTTCTCTGTGTCCACACAGGAGGGGATGATGGTCTTCTCAGAGTCTGGGACACCAGGACTTCTGGCACGTCTCTCTTTATCAGCAAGAGGTATTTGGCTTGGGTTTGGCCCTCTTGGCTCCTTTCCCAGGACCTTGCCCTCAGTGCCGCCCTCTGTCTGCAGACATTCCATGGGTGTGTGCAGCATCCAGAGCAACCCCCACAAGGAGCACATTCTGGCTACAGGAAGGTGAGTCCTGTAGTCTGCGTTCTCTAGTCCTTACATCCTGCCACCTTCCCTCCACAAGGACTCTGATGTTGTTTGTAGCTCTCAATCCATAGCGCAGGTATCTGGGTCTGGAAAGAGGGGCCATTGTCTGCACGGGGTGAGTGGGATGGGTTCCTGGGAGGTGTTCCCTGCCATTGAGGGGCCTTGAAGAAGTGAGCACTGACTTTTCTGCACACCTCTGGTTGGATGTTCCAGCTATGATGAGCACATTCTACTGTGGGACACTCGGAACATGACTCAGCCGTTAGCTGACAGGCCCGTGCAGGGTGGGGTGTGGAGGCTCAAGTGGCACCCAGTCCACCACTATCTTCTCCTGGCAGCCTGCATGCATGGTGGCTTCAAGATCCTCAACTGTCAGAGGGCCATGGGTGAGTAGGGGTGCACAGCTGGCCGCCAGGCAGGAAGTCTGTCCAACCTCCCTGCACTTACAGGCCACACCCATGCCTTGCCCCTGCCCCTGTATCAGAATCAGAGCTCAGTTTTAAAAATCTACTGTCGGACTGGGAAGGTGGCTCAGTGGTAGAGCGCATGCCTTGCATGCCAGAGGCCCTGGGTTCGATTCCTCAGCACCACATAAGCAAAAAGAAAAAAGCCGGAAGTGGCGCTGTGGCTCAAGTGGTAGAGCGCTAGCCTTGAGCTGAAGAGCTGAGGGACAGTGCCCAGGCCCAGAGTTCAGGCCCCATGACCGGACCCAAAAAATAAAAAAATAAAAATAAAAATCTACTGTCTTAGCTAGGCTTAATCGGTGGCTCACACAAATCCTAGCTACTGAAAAGGCTGAAGATCACGGTTTGAAGCCAGCTGGGACAGCAAAGTCCGTAAAACTTGCTTCTACTTAATCACCAAAAAGCTGTGGCTTTTTGGAGCTGTGGCTCCAGTGGTAAAGCACTAGCCTCCTGAGTAGCTAGGATTACAGGTGTTAAGTCACTGGCCGCAGTGACTGGTTAAAAGCCAGCCGTATGCTGACTCCTCCAGTGGCTTCTTACACCATGCAGAACAAAATCTCAGCCTGCTCATGCCTATAATCATCACGAGGCTCTACAATTCAGGACATTGAGAGCTGTAGAATCACAGTTGAAGCCAATTGGGGTTGAAATGTCTGTTAGACTCTGTCACCAAAATAACTGGCAAAAAGCAGGGCTAGGGGCATGGATTAAGTAAGAGAGCCAACTGAGCCAGCAAGCTGAATAAGCACAAGCCTCAAGTGCCACTAAACCTCAGTAGCAAAACAAAAAACAAATCAACAGAAAAAATCGACCCTCAGTTCTGAGCTTCTGTGGGATTCAGCCTGGTCTTAACTTTGGCTGCATCTTTACCTTGCTTCTTGCACATGCCCACGACCATCCTTGCGGTCACTTCAAGCCTGGATGGCTGCTAGTCTTCCAAGCAGACATCTCAGCTCACTTCCTCCTAGTCCTTGAGCTTTATCCAGCTTTGGCCCTGCCCAACTGGTTGCAGTGCCATGTGGCTACACACTGGAATGCTGTTCAGTCTTCCTTCTGACCTATCACCCTCCAAATGGCATTCAGAATTTCAAATTTTGAGGTGTATCTCCCTATGAAGATTTTGCCAAGTTTTCCAGCTTGGAGAAATACTCCTCACATTTGTTTCTACAGCTCTAGCTTTTGTTCTGAGGTACACGTTGTGAGAAACATGTCCTTGTCCTAGTGATTCTTCTGCACATGTGCTAGCTGCCCCGTGAACTTTTTCTGAGGGAGCAGCTGTTCTTGTTGGAGTGAGGCTCCCTTTGGAGGTGGATGGAGGCCGTCATTGGGAGTGATTTCTGTTTCTTGTTCTTTCTCTTGCTCCAGAAGAGAAGCAGGAAGTGACAGTGTTGGTGTCTCACACGTTGCCCAATTCACTGGTGTATGGGGCTGACTGGTCCTCGCTCCTCCAACCCATGCAGCCCAGACCCTGCACCTTTCCTCCATGTGACACGGGAGCCAGGGTGGCAGACCAGGTCTGCAGCCGGAAGGTTGCAAGTGGACTACTAGCGTCCTCATTTGAGCAAAGAGTGGACACAGTGGACTCAAGTAGCAGCTGGTGCCAGCATCACACTACTGCCAAGATCTGTGACTCGGACCTCCAGTCCGAAGGGGAAGATTTTGACATCCACTTCCTGGCCACCTGCTCCTTTTATGATCACGTTCTCCACCTCTGGAAGTGGGAGGCTAGCTGAGCCTGACCACCTGACTTGGTGCCAGCCCTTCTGGCTGGGCCTTTGTGATTGTACCTGACAGTGGAATGGCATTTCCCAACTATTTTGACTTTCAGCCCATCATACATGTAAGCAATTGTTTATACTAAATTCTTTTTATTACCTTGTAACATGAAAAAGTTTGTTGTAGTTTTTTTTTGGTGGAATGTTTCTTTGTAGAATAAAAGGTGTATACATATTCTAGTCACTTTGTGTGTGTCTGTTGGTTCTAGGGCTCCTAATGGGTTTTTTCATTTCTAGCTGGCACTCTTAGCACTCGAGCCACACCTTCACTTTCTGCTTCTTGCTGGTTAATTGTGATATTGTTCCTAGCCTCCACCCCCAGCCTCCTCAGTAGCTAGGATTTAAAGGCATGAATCACTGATGCCTGCCTTGTGCCACTATTGAATCTTAGATTGTCAGCAGGACACACATTTAGGAAACATGGGTTCTAGCCCCTTCCTCTTTTGTTTCCCTTTCTATGTTGGAACAAGCACTTGGTAGTGCTCTACCAGCACCTCCCCATCCCCCCATCTTGTTTATCATGGTACCAAACAACCTGCTAACATAGATCAGTTTGGTTACAACACACTTTTCTGTTAAAATGGTAATTTTCTTAGTGGCCCACTTATTTTAAATAAGATCTATCCTTGTAAATCTGTTTTCTGAATTTGTGCTGTGGACAAAGTTCAGGGTCAGCTAAGCATGAATTCCCAATACCCATTTGAGGGACTGTGAAATAGGCAGACACTGGGCATAAGAGAGCCCAGTTTAGTACCAACTGTCTGAACGGCCTCTCTTTTTTTGGCAGTTCTGATGTTTGAATTCAGAGCCTTAAGCTCACTAGGCTTGTTTGTTCCTTGGACTAGTGCTTTACCGATTAAGCCACACCTCCATCCTGACTTTTTGTTATTTTGGAGATGGAGTCTGCAGCCTTTTATGCTTGAACTGGCTTTGAACCACAACCTTCTAGATTCATCCAAGGAAGCATGAGGCCCTGACACTCACCCCTCCCCCCCCAAAAAAAAATTCCCAGCTGGGCACCAGTGGCTCAAGCCTGTAATCTTTGCTACTCAGCAGGCTGAGATCTGAGGATCCCGGTTCAAAAGCCAGCTCAGGCAGGAAAGTCAGTAAGACTTTTATCTCCAATTAATCACTGAAAAAGCCAAAAATGCCAGGCATTGGTGGCTCACATCTGTAATCCTAGCTACTCAGGAGGCTAAAACCTGAGAATTACGGCTAAAAGCCAGCCCAGGCAAGGAAAAGTCTGTGAGACTCTTACCGCCAAGAAACCACCAGAAAACCGGAAGTGGCGCTATGTGGTAGAGCGCTTGCCTTGAGCTGAAGAGCTGAGGGGCAGCCTCCAGGCTGAGTTCAAGCCTCAGGATGGGTGGGAAAAAAACAAAACCAGAACATTTCCCTTTCACTTGGCTAAGAGTACAGGCTGTTTGGAATAGGACTTTTTTTTTTTTTTTTTTTTGCCAGTCCTGGTGCCAGCACCACTTCTGGATTTTCCTGCTTGGCTGGCTTTGAACCGTGATCCTCAGATCTCAGGCTTCTGAGTAGCTAGGATTACAGGCGTGAGCCACCTGTGTTCCGCCAGATTGACTGTCTGGGTTATGTGTGAGCTGAGTGCTGTGTGTGCTTGCCAGGAGCAGTCTTCCAGACCTTACGTGACTTCCAGAGCTGTGCATGCTGGGTAAGTGCTTTGCCACTAGAGCCACACTCAAGCCCTTTTTTGCTTTCGTTATTTTCTGGATAGGGTTTCACACTTCGGTCCTTATCCGCTTCAGACTTCCATCTTCCTATGTATGCCTTCTAAGAGATTACAGGTGTGTACCACTATGCCCAGCCTCGTGCCACACTTTCAACGATCATATTCCAAACGCACTGTACAGGGTAACAAAGGCCTTTAATAGACAAGCATGAAGACGCTTCCCCATACCTCCCCCGAGACTGGTGATCTGAGGTTGGGTTAGTATGGGCTCCGGCCGAGAGAAGCCTGTGGACACTGCTTTCTAGCGTGGGAAATTCTTGGGATACAGCTGGAAGAGTTTGCCTTCCTGGGTGGGCTCGAAGCCATACTTCTCAAGGCGGTCGGGATCGAAAGCGCCTTTTTTAAAGTCCTTTTCGATAGCAGGTGCAACGGCTTCCAGGAAGAGCGCTCGGGCAGTCAGCGGCGCCTCCGTGCCTGCGGGAGTGCGGTAGTTCACGTAGGGCTTGAGCTTGAAGCCAGTCAGGTCTGGAACCACGAACTCTGGGACCATTTCCTTGATCTGCACGAACTTGCGGCCGGGGGCGAGGACGCCGGTTCTCTTGGCGCCGCGGCTCTTGTAGAAGGTGCGCGGCCCGCGCTTGCTGGTCCAGCGGCTCATCCGGTCGGCGCCGCGCACCAGGCCCTGCGTCACTGCCGTCAGGAAGCCCATGCCGCGCCCTGCGGGGGGACACGGCTTTCCGGCGGTCAGAGGCCCCGCGGGCGCGAGGAGCGGCTCGGCCCGCAGCCCGGCATCCCCTTTCGGCTCGGGGCGGCTCGAGCGCCGAGACTGAGCTCCGCGCCACTCCGCGCCCGCACGGCGACCCCGGCGCACTTCCGGCGGAAGGCCGTACGGCCCCTGAGAAGCAAGAGCCGCTCCGATTGGCGCCCGCCACTCCCGACGCACAGCCTCAGCCAATGCGTGCACCGCTCCAGGACGAGGGGCGGGGCGTCAGGAACGCGGGCAGCGGGACGGCTGGCCGGAGCCTGAGGGGGGCCGCCCCGAGCCTCGGCGGGCGCCGCGGCCTGGCCTGGCTCCGGCGTGACGGCCTCCCCTCACCCGCGCCGCGACATGCGCGACAGCCGCGCCTTCGGCCGTCCCGCGCAGCACCCGCTTCTGATCCTGCCCCGCGGCCCCGTCAGAGACCCGCCTTCTGCACCGCGCCCGGCGTAGCCCGCGCCCCAGAGCTCTTTTCTGGTCCCCGCACCCCCCGCGTCTGCGCGGCCCAGGGGCTTACCTCAGCTCCGACCTCGAGGCGCTGGGACCGCCACTGGACAGCCTCGCCTCCTGCGCGACCTTCCGGCTCGGGTCCTCCGTGCGGCCCCGCCCTCCCCGCGGCCCCGCCCCGCCCCCCCGCGGCCCCGCCCCGCCCCCCCGCGGCCCCGCCCCGCCCTCCCGCGGCCCCGCCCCGCCCTCCCGCGGCCCCGCCCCGCGGCCCCGCCCCGCCCCCCCGCGGCCCCGCCCCGCCCCGCGGCCCCGCCCCGCCCTCCCGCGGCCCCGCCCCGCCCTCCCGCGGCCCCGCCCCGCGCCGCCCTCCCCGCGGACGCGGCCCCGCCTCCCGCCGCCTTTTTCCCCCCCCCCTCCAGCCTCCGCGGAGGCAGCCACGCCCCCCGGCGTTCTCCAGGCGCGGAACTCCCGGGCCTGCCACCCTCCCTGAGGCGGTCAGCCCCCCCCCCCCCCCCCGCGCCCCCCCCCCCGCCCTCCCTCCCTGAGGCAGTCAGCCCCCCCCCCGCCCTCCCTGAGGCAGTCAGCCCCCCCCCCCGCCCTCCCTGAGGCGGTCAGCCCCCCCCACCCGCCCACCCTCCCTGAGGCGGTCAGCCCCCCCCCCCCCCCCCCCCCGCCCGCCCTCCCTCCCTGAGGCGGTCAGACCCCCCCCCCCGCCCTCCCTGAGGCAGTCAGCCCCCCCCCCACGCCCTCCCTGAGGCAGTCAGCCCCCCCCCCGCCCTCCCTGAGGCAGTCAGCCCCCCCCCCCCCGCCCTCCCTGAGGCGGTCAGCCCCCTCCCCCCGCCCGCCCTCCCTGAGGCGGTCAGCCCCCCCCCCCCCCCCCCCCGCCCGCCCTCCCTCCCTGAGGCGGTCAGCCCCCTCCCCCCGCCCGCCCTCCCTGAGGCGGTCAGCCCCCCCCCCCCCCGCCCACCCTCCCTGAGGCGGTCATCCCCCCCCCCCCCCCCCCCGCCGCCCTCCCCGGGCTTGCGGCCATGCCCGCGGAGGACAGGGGGCGGGGGCGGAGGACGGGGGGCGGGGGCGGAGGGCGGGGGTGGGGGGGGACGGGGGGCACGGGGGGGCAGGGGGGCGGGGGCGGCGGGGGTGTGGGGGGGCGGGGGTGTGGGGGGGCGGGGGCACGGGGGGCGGGGGGGGGGCGGGGGTGTGGGGGCGGGGGGACGGGGGCATGGGGGGGCAGGGGGGCAGGGGCACGGGGGGGCGGGGGCACGGGGGGGCAGGGGGGCGGGGGCACGGGGGGGCGGGGGCACGGGGGGGGCGGGGGTGTGGGGGGCGGGGGTGGGTGGGGGGCGGGGGCACGGGGGGCGGGGGGGCGGGGGTGGGGGGGGCGGGGGTGTGGGGGGCAGGAGGACGGAGGGACGGGGGCATGGGGGGTGTGGGTGGCGGGGGTGTGGGGGGGCGGGGGCACGGGGGGGCGGGGGCACGGGGGGGCGGAGGGGGCGGGGGTGTGGGTGGCGGGGGTGTGGGGGGGGCGGGGGCACGGGGGGGCGGAGGGGGCACGGGGGGAAGGGGGCACGGGGGGACGGGGGCACGGGGGCACGGGGGCACGGGGGGACGGGGGCACGGGGGGACGGGGGCACGGGGGCACGGGGGCACGGGGGGACGGGGGCACGGGGGCACGGGGGCACGGGGGGACGGGGGCACGGGGGGACGGGGGCACGGGGGGACGGGGGCACGGGGGCACGGGGGGACGGGGGCACGGGGGGACGGGGGGGGCGGGGGTGTGGGGGCACGGGGGCACGGGGGCACGGGGGAACGGGGACGGGCTGGCGTCCACCCCTGGTGAGCGCGCCGCGAGGCGGAGCCGCCCCGGGGTCCTCCAGCCCCAACGGGCCTCCTGCCGCGCCCCCTCCCCGGCCCGCGTGAGTCCCCGCCGGGGCCGCGTCCCCGTGGTCCCCGTGGTCCCCGTGAGTCCCCGCCGGGGCCGCGTCCCCGTGGTCCCCGTGGTCCCCGTGAGTCCCCGCCCGGGCCCGCGCTCCCGCAGAGCTTCTGCGGACCAGAGTGGGGAGGCACAGCGGGACGGGATCTCCTCTGTCAGAGCGCTGACTGGTGGCTGCACAGCCGCCATCAGTTCTTCTCAGGGTGCGCAGCGTGTGTGGCGGTGGGCATTGAAGCTGCTTTTTTTCCCTTAAAGTCGCGATTGTTACTTCCCATGTCCCCTTGGGACTCTGCTTGCTTTGCTTAGGTTCTTTCTTGCAGTCCAACACTAGCCACATCTCAAGCAGAAAAGTTGCTCCATTAAGACAGCAGAGAACAGCTAGACACGCTGAGGAGCCTGGCGTCAAGGACGTAAGTAGAGGTCACAGGACTGCCAGGGACAGGGGAGCACTGGGCAAATGGAAAGTGTGGTTGGAGTGTGCACGTGCGAACTTCTTGAGAGCAGAGGCAGACAGAACGAGAGGGAGGCTGGGTGCCTCAGTTCTGAAGCAACAAGTCCACACCTTGCACGATGGCTTTGTTGACAACATAATTCACAGTGAGGGTTCACAGGATGGTATCACTGACAACACAGTTCATGGGTGAGGGTTCACAGGATGGTATCATTGACAACACAGTTCACAGGTGAGGGTTCACAGGATGGTATCATTGACAACACAGTTACGGGTGAGGGTTCACAGGATGGTATCATTGGCAACACAGTTCACGGGTGAGAGTTCACAGGATGGTATCACTGACAGCACAGTTACGGGTGAGGGTTCACAGGATGGTATCATTGACAACACTATTCACAGTGAGGGTTCACAGGATGGTATCACTGACAACACAGTTCACAGGTGAGGGCTCACAGGATGGTATCATTGACAACACAGTTACGGGTGAGGGTTCACAGGATGGTATCACTGACAACACAGTTCACAGGTGAGGGTTCACAGGATGGTATCACTGACAACACAGTTCACAGGTGAGGGCTCACAGGATGGTATCATTGACAACACAGTTACGGGTGAGGGTTTACAGGATGGTATCATTGACAACACTATTCACAGTGAGGGTTCACAGGATGGTATCACTGACAACACAGTTCACAGGTGAGGGTTCACAGGATGGTATCATTGACAACACAGTTCACAGGTGAGGGCTCACAGGATGGTATCATTGACAACACAGTTACGGGTGAGGGTTCACAGGATGGTATCACTGACAACACAATTCACAGGTGAGGGTTCACAGGATGGTATCATTGACAACAGTTCACGGGTGAGGGTTCACAGGATGGTATCATTGACAACACAGTTCACGGGTGAGGGCTCACAGGATGGTATCATTGACAACACAGTTCACAGGTGAGGGTTCACAGGATGGTATCATTGACAACACACTTCACAGGTGAGGGTTCACAGGATGGTATCATTGACAACACAATTCACAGTGAGGGTTCACAGGATGGTATCATTGACAACACAGTTACGGGTGAGGGCTCACAGGATGGTATCATTGACAACACAGTTCACGGGTGAGGGTTCACAGGATGGTATCACTGACAACACAGTTCACAGGTGAGGGCTCACAGGATGGCATCATTGACAACACAGTTACGGGTGAGGGTTCACAGGATGGTATCATTGACAACACAGTTCACGGGTGAGGGTTCACAGGATGGTATCACTGACAACACAGTTCACAGGTGAGGGCTCACAGGATGGTATCATTGACAACACAGTTACGGGTGAGGGTTCACAGGATGGTATCATTGACAACACAGTTCACGGATGAGGGTTCACAGGATGGTATCATTGACAACACAGTTCATGGGTGAGGGTTCACAGGATGGTATCACTGACAACACAGTTCACAGGTGAGGGTTCACAGGATGGTATCATTGACAACACAATTCACAGTGAGGGTTCACAGGATGGTATCATTGACAACACAGTTACGGGTGAGGGTTCACAGGATGGTATCATTGACAACACAGTTCATAGGTGAGGGCTCACAGGATGGTATCATTGACAACACAGTTCATAGGTGAGGGCTCACAGGATGGTATCATTGACAACACAGTTACGGGTGAGGGTTCACAGGATGGTATCATTGACAACACAGTTCATGGGTGAGGGTTCACAGGATGGTATCACTGACAACACAGTTCACAGGTGAGGGCTCACAGGATGGTATCATTGACAACACAGTTACGGGTGAGGGTTCACAGGATGGTATCATTGACAACACAGTTCACAGGTGAGGGTTCACAGGATGGTATCATTGACAACACAGTTACGGGTGAGGGTTCACAGGATGGTATCATTGACAACACAGTTACGGGTGAGGGTTCACAGGATGGTATCATTGACAACACAGTTCACAGGTGAGGGTTCACAGGATGGTATCATTGAGAACACAATTCACAGTGAGGGTTCACAGGATGGTATCATTGACAACACAGTTCACAGGTGAGGGCTCACAGGATGGTATCATTGACAACACAGTTACAGGTGAGGGCTCACAGGATGGTATCATTGACAACACAGTTCACAGGTGAGGGTTCACAGGATGGTATCATTGACAACACAGTTCACAGGTGAGGGTTCACAGGATGGTATCATTGACAACACAGTTACGGGTGAGGGCTCACAGGATGGTATCATTGACAACACAGTTCACAGGTGAGGGCTCACAGGATGGTATCATTGACAACACAGTTACAGGTGAGGGCTCACAGGATGGTATCATTGACAACACAGTTCACAGGTGAGGGTTCACAGGATGGTATCATTGAGAACACAGTTCACAGTGAGGGTTCACAGGATGGTATCATTGACAACACAGTTACAGGTGAGGGTTCACAGGATGGTATCATTGACAACACAGTTCACAGGTGAGGGCTCACAGGATGGTATCATTGACAACACAGTTCACAGGTGAGGGCTCACAGGTTGGTATCATTGACAACACAGTTACAGGTGAGGGTTCACAGGATGGTATCATTGACAACACTATTCACAGTGAGGGTTCACAGGATGGTATCATTGACAACACAGTTCACAGGTGAGGGTTCACAGGATGGTATCATTGACAACACAGTTACGGGTGAGGGTTCACAGGATGGTATCATTGACAACACAGTTCACAGGTGAGGGTTCACAGGATGGTATCATTGACAACACAGTTCACAGGTGAGGGCTCACAGGATGGTATCATTGACAACACAGTTACGGGTGAGGGTTCACAGGATGGTATCATTGACAACACAGTTCACAGGTGAGGGTTCACAGGATGGTATCATTGACAACACAGTTCACAGGTGAGGGTTCACAGGATGGTATCATTGACAACACAGTTATGGGTGAGAGTTCACAGGATGGTATCATTGACAACACAGTTCACAGGTGAGGGCTCACAGGATGGTATCATTGACAACACAGTTACGGGTGAGGGTTCACAGGATGCTATCATTGACAACACAGTTCACAGGTGAGGGTTCACAGGATGGTATCATTGACAACACAGTTCACAGGTGAGGGTTCACAGGATGGTATCATTGACAACACAGTTACGGGTGAGGGTTCACAGGATGGTATCATTGACAACACAGTTCACAGGTGAGGGCTCACAGGATGGTATCATTGACAACACAGTTACGGGTGAGGGTTCACAGGATGGTATCATTGACAACAGTTCATGCGTAAGGGTTCATTCACAGGATGGTATCATTAAAGTCACAGACATCCCTCCTGCCTACAGATCTGGTCCATGGACTTCTGAAGAGCTGCGGTGCCTCTTTGGAACAATGGGGCAGGCCGACTTCTCTGATGTTTCTCCTATGGCATTTGCACTATTGGTATGGGATGTTTTCATACAGATGATTGCTCCCTTGTGGTTTCTTTTTTCTTTTTTGCTGGTGTGTGTGTGTGTTGGTGCTGGGGCTTGAACTTGAACTCAGGAGCTGGCACACTATCCCTGAGCTTTTTTTTCTCTCAGGGCCACACTATAACCACTTGAGCCACAGCTCCACTTCTGGCTTTTTGGCAGTTAATTGGAGATAAGAGTCTCATGGACTTCCCTGCCTTGACTGGCTTTGACCTAAGGGTCACAGTTGTTAGGATTATAAGTGTGAGCCACTGGCACTTGACTGATTTTTTTACTTTTTGAGACTGAGTCTTGCTGTGTGGCTCAGGCTGGCCTTCAGTTCTTGGGCTCAAGTGATCCTACTGCTTCTTTCCAAGTGGCTGGGATTAACAATGGGTACAGCGCTTGCCTTGCATGCATGAGGCCCTGGATTCGATTCCTTAGCACCACATAAGCAAAAAGAAAAAAGCCGGAAGTGGCTCTGTGGCTCAAGTGGTAGAGTGCTAGCCTTGAGCTGAAGAGCTGAGGAACAGCACCTAGGCCCAGAGTTCAAGCCCCACGACCGGACCCCCCCCCCAAAAAAAAAAAAAAAAAAAAGAAAAAAGAAAAGGCTGTGGACTCCTTGGTGGCTAAGGCTTACAGCCCCAGTATTGAGGTGTGTTAGTGTGATGCAGGGTGTTTGTTCACAGTAACTGAGCATCCCAGTGCTTGAATAAGAAAGGTTGCTCTTTGCATCTTGCAGAGGGACCGAGGACCTTAGTGTTTTGCGGTGGGACATAGGAAATTAGTGACATATAAAGATTGCTTCTCTGGAATTTCCAGCATCGCTGACATCTTCCTTACCTATCCTTAGCCCTTTTACCCTGACCAAAGCCAGTCTGGGAAGCCAGACTAGTGGCCTGCCCAACTACTGCTCTTGTCTTAGGCTGGCTTCTGTCTGGGCACCACCCTGTGTTCCTGGAAGAGCACTCACAGTCCACAATGGTAACAAAACGAGGGCTTTCTGGGGTGGACCCAGGGGGCTGGAGGTTGTAGTGGCTTGGCTGACAGGTACACTGCCTTGTGCCCTTCTAGCTTATGGGGATTGCAGTTGGAGCCCTCCTGGCACTGGCCTTTGTTGGCATTGCTATCTTTTCTGTGTACAGAGGTTGACAGAGTCTGTGAGTATCTTGTTCTAGAACCTAGGGAGAAGGATGTTCGTATGTGTGTCCTGTACAGTGTTTTTAGCCCCTGGTGTCTGCCCTCAAGGCATCTGGGTTTGTTGGAACCTGGTGGCCTGTCTGGGTTTAGGCTGAGGTTCTCAGTCTGTCCATAGCTTTTCTGTCCCGTTGTTCTAAGCTGGGACTCCGTGTTAGAGAGATTCCTCCCTCTTCTGAGACAAGTCAAGCAAGAACCCAGCTTATTGTACTGCCTTTCCATGACCTGGCCAGTGCTGCACTTCATTTACTCATTTGCAGTGCTGGGGATGGAACTCAGAACCTTGGGCTTCACTTTACTTTAGCTCCAGCACCCACTCAGGGCTGAGCTCACAGCCCTCTGTCACCTCACAGTGTCCTCAGCACAGGACAAGCCCAGCCCACCTCTCAATACAGGTTTCGGAAGAGGGACAAGGTGATGTTCTATGGCTGGAAGATCACGAGGAAGGTAACACACACGCAGGATGTGGGTTGTGGTCAGGCTCCTGAGCTGGCCTCTAGGGATGGGGACATGGTGTTTGCCAGGCTTCCGAGCCCCTGGTCTCTGCAGCGACTCCTTCTCTGGCTCCATGGCCCCTGCCTCTGGGTGCAGGATTTGGGGGCTGTTGTAAGTCATGCTGAGTGTTACCAGTCTCCCCCAGCCAAGCACCGCTGGCCTGGAGGTCAGTTTGAGGAGGACATGGTGCAGAATGACATCAGGAGGGGTGGACATCTGGCTTGAAGTAGTTGAGCCTGCTTCCACAGGTGCCAGGACACAAGGTCCCTGGGCTCTCTGAAGTACAGTTGTGTGTGTTAACAAGAAAAGAGGGGCTGGGAGTCTGGCTCAGCAGTAGGGTGCTTGCCTAGCATGCATGAAGCCCTGGGTTCCATTCCCCAATACCACACACACACAGAGAAAAATCCAGAAGTGGAACAGCGCCCAGGTCCTGAGTTTAAATCCCAGGACTGGCAAAAAAAAAAAAATAAGAAAAGAGGACAGATGGCTGCTCTTTTCTGTGGACAAGGTGGGGATTCATAGAACCTCTATCAGGATTCCTGAGGTTGATCTATAGAAGGAGACTAGTCCTCTGGGGCTCAGGGGCTGCAATTCACTAATGAACCCTTCAGTGAAACTGTGTGGCCCACTTTTCAGTACCTATGGTAGTTCTGGAACCTTCAAAACACAGATCCTAGCCTGGCACTGGTAGCTCATGCCTATAACCTAACTACTCAGGAGGCTGAGATCTGAGGATCACAGTTTGGAGCTAGCCCACTCAGAAAAAGTCTCTGAGAGTCTTGTCTCCAATTAACCACCAGAAAACTGTAAGTGGTGCTGTGAGCGCTCGCCTTGAACAAAAAAGCTCAGGGACAGCACCCAGGCCCAGAGTTCAAGCCCCACGACTGGACCCAAAAAAAAAAAAAAAAAAGAATGTGTCTCTGTTTCATAGGATCCTCCGTTTCAAGAAGGAGAACCCTACCTTGCAGCCCAAGAGCCCCCACCTCCCTATTGGAGGCTGATCTCACAGAGTTTGATGTGAATAATTCTCACTTGCCATCAGAAGTATTGTACATGTTGAAAAATGTCCAGTAAGAGAGAAGATGGGCCTGGGAGGCCCCGCAGCAGTGGCCCTGGGTCCTCATGGGGCCTAGGGCGGAGGCCTTCGCAGGCCTCTCACTGGCCGTGCTTGGTTTGGCTGTCAATGTCAGCTGGTAGTTGGCAAATCTGTCTCTTTTCTGCCTCAGAACTGCTGGTCGTGTGGTGTTAGTGTGGTCAGTGGTAGTGGGATGCTTAGTACACCACTAGTGGAGTGCCTAGCTTTGCCAGTAGAATGGGTGCCTTGCACAGTTAAGATGCTTGTGGGTCAGTGTGGCTTTGTGTCTGCTCCCCTCTTCACCTGTTCCATTTTATTATTTCTTTTGTGTGTATGGTGGTGGTTGTTTTGTTTTTCTTTGTCAGTTGTAGGGCCTGAACTCTGGGCCTGGGCGCTGTCCCTCAGCTCTTCAGCTCAAGGCTAGCGCTCCTACCACTTGAGCCACAGCGCCACTTCCGGCCTTTTCTGCTTATGTAGTATTGAGGAATGGAACCCAGGGCTTCATGCATGCTAGGCAAGCACTCTACCACTAAGCCACATTCCCAGCCCAGAATTTTTTGGGGGGACAGGGTCTTTGTATGTTGCCCAGCTTGAACTCACTATGCTACCCAGGCTTGCCTGGGGTTCAGATCTTCCTTTCTCAGACTTCTGAAATAATGGGCATATGCTATACTATACTGGCCCAGATATTAACAACCCAGTTTGGCAGATGGATCTTCAGCTTTGGCCATGGCATGGTGGGGAATGAGGCTTGAGTCCTTGCAAGGCTTTTCCTAAGGCTTTCTCTTACCCTGTCTTCCCTCGGAGTATGTCCCACAGTGCATTCTGCTTGTTTCAGAGTCCTGGGCCACTTTGAGAAGCCACTCTTCCTGGAACTTTGCAAACACGTGGTCTTTTTGCAGCTGCATGAGGAAGAGCATGTCTTTCAGCCAGGAGAACCAGATACCAGCATTTATATTGTACAGGATGGACGGCTGGAGGTCTGCATCCAGGATACTGTGAGTCAGGGCTGAGGAACTTCAGAAAGAGACTGAGGCTACTGTGTTTTTACTTATCTACCTGTTATCTTAAAACTTGGAGCAGTTTCCATCAAAAAGTTAGTACAGGGCTGGGAAAGTGACTTAGTGGTAGAGTATTTGCCTAGCATGCATGAAGCCCTGGGTTTGATTCCTGAGTTCCACATAAACAGAAAAAGCTGGGATTGGTGCTGTTGCTCAAGTGGTATAGTGCTAGCCTTGAGCAAAAGAAGCTTAGGGACAGTGCCCAGGCCCTGAGTTCAAACTCCAGGTCTGGCCAAAAGAAAAAAAAAAATGTTAGTACAAGTGGGCTGGGTGCCAGTGGCTCACACCTTCAATCCTAGCTACTCAGGAGGCTGAGATCTGAGGACTGCAGTTCAAAGCCAGCCTGGGCAGAAAAGTCTGAGAGACTCTTATCTCCAATAAAGTACTCAGAAAAAGCCAGAAGTGGCTCTGTGGGTCAAGTGGTAGAACGCTAGCCTTGAGCACAGAGAGGCTCAGGGACAGTGCCCAGGCCCTGAATTTAAATCCCAGGACTGGGGTAGGGGGCAAGGGAGGAAAGAAGGGAGAGAGAGTGCACCTGGAGCTAGGTACTGGCGGCTCACTCCTAGCTACTCAGGAGACTGGGATCTGAGGATCGTGGTTTGAAGCCAGCCCAGGCAGAAAAGTCTTATCTCCACTCAAAAAACAGAAGTGGCACTTTGGCTCAAAGTGGTAGAGACTAGCATTGAGCAAAAGGGCTCAGGGACAGCACTCAGGCCTTGAGTTCAAGCCCCATGACTGACAGCCCCTGCCTGTCATCCTAACTACTCAGAAGGCTGAGATCTGAGGATCACAGTTCAAAGCCAGCCTGGGCAGGAAAGTTCGTGAAACTCTTATCTCCAATAAACCAGAAAACTGGAAGTGGTGTGTAGCTCAAGCAGTAGATCACTCATCTTGAGCTGAAGAGCTGAGGGACAGCGCCCAAGCCCAGAGTTCAAGCCCCACAACCGACAAAAACAAAAAACAAAACAAAAAAACAGTACAGCTGGGCTCCTGTGGCTCACACCTATAATCCTAACTACTCAGGAGGCCATCTCCTCCTCCTCCTCCTCCTTCTTCTTCCTCTTCTTCCTCTTCTACTTTTCTCCTTCTTCTTCTTCTTCTTCTTCCTCCTCCTCTTCCCCTTCTCCTTCTCCTTCTCCTTCCCCTTCCCCTTCCCCTTCTCCTTCTCCTTCTCCTTCTTCTTCTCTTATTTATTTTGCTAGTCCTGGGTCTTGAACTCAGGGCCTGTGCCCTGTCCCTGAGTCTCTCTGTGCTCTAGGCTAGCTCTTAAGCCACAGAGCCACTTCTGGCTTTTTCTGAGTAGTTTATTAGAGATAAGAGTCTCGGGCTGGGAAGATGGCTCAGTGGTAGAGCACTTGCCTTGCATGCATGAGGCCCTGGGTTCGATTCCTCAGCACCACATAAGCAAAAAGAAAAAAGCCGAAAGTGGCGCTGTGGCTCAAGTGGTAGAGCGCTAGCCTTGAGCTGAAGAGCTGAGGGACAGTGCCAAGGCCCAGAGTTCAGGCTTCATGACCAGACCTAAACAAAAAACAAGAGTCTCATGAACTTTCCTTCTTGGGCTGGCTTTGAACCGTGATCCTCAGATCTCAGCTTCCTAAGTAGCTGGAATTACAGGCTTGAGCCACAGGCACCCGACTCTGTGAGACTTTTATCTCCAATTAACTACCAAAATACCAGAAATGATGCTGTGGCTCAAAATGATAGAGCACTAGCCTTGAGCACAAAAGCTCAGAGACAATGCCCAGCCCCCCCCCCCCCCCCAAAAAAAAAAGTTAGTGCAGAATTTTAGATCCTTAGGGAAAAAGACACACTCTCATCCTCTCATTTAAGCACAGTTGCTACTTTGATTATGGTACATTATCATTTACTGTTATGCACACGTGTACCTATTATTTAAGTGGCTTGGTAGCAATACTTACATTTGTTGTTGTTGTTGTTTTTGGTTGATCATAGGGTTTGAACTCTGGGTCTGGGCACTGTCTCTGAGGTCTTTCACTCAAGGCTAGTGCTCTACCACTTTGAGCCACAGCACCACTTCAATTTTTCTAACTTTCCTACCTAGGCTGGCTTCAAATCATGATCCTCAGATCTCAGCCTCCTAAGTAGCAAGGATTACAGGCCTGAGCCACTAGATCTTGTTTCTTGCTTATATTAAGTTATATACTTTGGATTTCAACTTCAGGGATATGACTGCTGAGTTCAAACCTCTCAGGCTCTTTTTGGTGTTGTGTTGCTTTCTGTAACAGTGGTATCAGTTTATTTGACTGGTGGTGTATGACGTAGGCTTCCTACCTTATATTAGTATTTAGAGCAGATATTAATACTTGTGTCATAGTCTCCCCAGACACTGAAGCCTCAGAAGTTCCTGCATGCCCTAATCTTATGAGTGGGCAGTGTACACAGCTAATTTCAGCATTATCTTTCCAGGTTTCTAGACCCAAGGTGTTATCTGGGGTGGAATTGTTGATTCTCATGTTGGTAGCTTAGTCTGTGGCTATGCTTGATAGAACAGAAAAAGGACTTTTAACTGGGTGCTTGCAGGTGGCTCACACCTGTAATCCTAGTTATTCAGAGGCTGAGATCTGAGCATTGCAGTTTGAAGCCAGGCCAAGCAAGAGTGTCTGTGAGACTCTTTTCTCCAACTAACCACCAAAAAGGAAAAAAGAAGCTGGAAGTGGAGCTGTGGCTCAAGTGGTGGAACACTAGCTTTGAGCACAAAAACTCAAGGACAGTACCCAGGCCCAGCAACACACACACACACACACACACACGGACTTTAATTCATCTGGTCTTGAAAGGTCCGAGCAAGTAGCTTCTATAGTCACATGGCCACTCTGCTGGAAGAGACTCCTGACTCCTGGTCAGGTTCAAAGGAAAGAAACCAACCAAAGGAGCCGGAGTGGCTTCTCTCTGGCCTTTGAATTGAGTAGGAGTGGCTCATGGATGGTGACGAGTCCCAGACAGGTTCAAAATGAATTTTCCTGGTTTGAGCTGAGATGAAGTTTCTACAGTAAATCACCAAAATTTGTTGTTTACTTTCTTATTTTGCCTAGTGAAAAGTTATGTTAAAATTCTGTAATTTTTATCTGGTGCCAGTGGCTCATGTCTATCATCCTCACCACTCAGGAAACAGGTCTGAGGACCATGGAAGCCAACCCCGGGCAGGAAAGTATGTGAGACTCTTATCCCCAAAACACTACAGCAATTTAGTTGTGGCTTGAGTGGTGGAGCGCTAGCCTTGAGCACAAAAGCTCAGGGACAGCACCCAGACAGAGTTCAAGCTCCAGGACTGACAAAAAATCTGCAGTTTTTACTGATAGTAACTAATTTCGTCCTCAGTCTTTGGAGTCCAGCAAACCAATGTAGATCTTATAAACGTTTGCTTGAAGGATGATAGAATTGAGGTGCTGTGACTGTGGCTGTCTTGGGTAGGGCTTCTCTTTCCTTTTCCTTCTCTTCCTCCCTTTCTCCCTCCTCCCCACAGGTAGGGGTTATCATTTCTCTTGGCTTCCTAATTTTTTCCCATTCTCTTCTTTCAGCTATTGCTTCTTTAATTCTGATTTAGCTAGTCCCCTGCCTTGCATTTCACCTGAGGTGTGCCCTCTATTGATGGAGGGGATGGCTGGGCTTCCCCACCAGCCTGGTAGATAGATGTCTCTCCTGGACTGATGGTTGATTGCTTTACACAGGACGGCACTGAGGTGGTAGTCAAGGAGGTCCTGGCAGGTGACAGCGTCCACAGCTCCTCAGCATGCTGGACACATCACTGTGAGTACCCATGCCTGCAGCAGCCCCTGGCTGCTCCTTGGTCAGCCCCAGTGGCCTTGTTTTCTCTGTCTTGCTTGAACAGCTTATCTCTAAAATTAAAGTCAAGTTCTCCACAGTGCCTTGAGGGTCTGGCACTCACCTTGACTGCAGTGGCCAAGCCAGCATCCATGGGAACAGTTTCAACAATGGATCTTAAACAGCCAGACATCTGGATAGTCCAGGCTGAGCTCAAATTTGTAACCCCCTCTGCCAAAGTGCTGCTTTTGGCTTTTACTTTAGCTTTTCTAGGCTGTATTACAATGTCTCTGGGATAATTAGACAATAGAATGTCATGAGGCAGACTGGACCCCAAATCCAGAGGCTTTGTGTAGAATCTTGTATGGAGCTTGGAAGAGAGGAACACCGTCATCCATCTCTGTGGTTCTGGGTTCACGACATTTTCTTTTCTTTTTGTCAAAAACTAGGATGACAGGCATAAGTCACCAGCACCCATCTTAAACTTCATTTTCTGAGACTCCCGTTGGATTTCCTTCCTTCCTTCCTTCCTTCCTTCCTTCCTTCCTTCCTTCCTTCCTTCCTTCCTTCCTTTCTTTCTTTCTTTCTTTCTTTCTTTTCTTTCTTTGCCAGTCCTGGGGCTTGAACGCAGAGCCTGAGCACTGTCCCTGAGCTTCTTTTGCTCAAGGCTAGTGCTCTACCACTTGAGTCACAGTGCCACTTCTGCCTTTTTCTTTTTATGTGGTACTGATGAATCGAATTCAGGGCTCATGCATGCTAGGCAAGCATTCTACCAGTAAGCCACGTTTCCAGCAGGTTTTTTTTTTCTTTTTTGGTACTGGGTATTGAACCCAGGATGTGGCACTTGATAGGCAAGTGTTTTACCGCTAAGCTACATCCTATCCTTGTCCTCCTTACTTCATGGGTGAAGTAAGATGAATTTTTCTGTTCCTCCCGAACATGTCTCCAGCCCTTCTGAATTTCTCTTCCCTGTAGATTTTGGGTCTTTTCTTTCAGATCAGGGGCTTTCCTGTCCCTAGCAATGCGTTTGTGTGCAGATGCATCTCATGGGTGCGGCGTGGCTCCAGCAGGCACAGGGGCTTTTACTGCGTAATTCCACACACATGAGTTCAAATCCACGCTGCTCACACATGCTGGAAGAACAGAGGCCAGCCTACCTTACCTCTAAGAGGCCTAGTGGTGAATATTTTGGCTTTATGAGCCACGCAGTTCATTGGCAATATGCAAATGACTGTGGCTGTGTACCAGTAAGACTGTTTACAAAACAGGTGATGTGGGGGTTGACTGTGGCCCTCCTGCTTGCTCTGCAGTCAAGGTTGGTGGCTGTTTGGGTGCTGACTTGGGGAGCCACAAGACAGTTGCTGGAAATGACTCGATTTGTAGTTATTTCAGTTAGTTATCAGTTAGTTATAAAGAGAAAAAACTTAAAAGCTGGGCACAGGCCTCACGTGTATGGTCAGGGTTGTCCACTAGGGACCTCTTCAGAAGACAGGACAAGAAGTTGGCTTCTTTCTTAGGGTTGGAGGTCTGTGTAGGCTTTTTTTTTTTTTAACTGTAGCTTCCCAGAGAAGAACTGGCTAATAGCCTGCAATGGTGGTCTTGGCCTGGAACAGGGAAAGGGTCTGACAATGCCCTTATTTAGAATGGATGTTCTAGTGTTCAGACATGCCTGCTTTATCTTCCGTGGAGGTGAGCCTGGAGTTGCTGGCCTAGGGAAGAGGGTCTTTACTAGCCTGCTGAGGTTGAGGTGTAGATCTAGGGGTTGGCCTGTGTTAGCATTATCAAAAATTGATTTTGGGACTGGGAATATGGCTCAGTGGTAGAGTGCTTGTCTAGCATGCATGAAGTCCTGGGTTCGATTCCTCAGTACCACGTAAACAGAAAAAGCTGGAAGTGGTGCTGTGGCTCAAGCAGTATAGTGCTAGCCTTGAGCAAAAGAAGCTCAGGGACAGTGCCCAGGCCCTGAGTTCAAGCGCCACAACTGAGAAAAAACAAACTTGTTCCATGGAGGAATATAGGTTTTTTAGATAGATAGGGGGGAGAGAGAGAGAGAGAGAATATACATGTGGGCAACATGAACACTGGAGTTTGGTTTGAATTCAGGGCTTCGAGCTCTCACTGAGCTGTTTTTTACTCAAGGTTGGCACTTTACTGCTTGAGCCATACCTCCAGTTCTGGCTTTTTTGCTGGGTTAATGGGAGGTAAGAATCTTGAAGAACTTTCTGCCTAGGCTGGCTTCAAGCCATGATCTTCAGATCTCAAGTCTCCTGAGTGGCTGAGTGTAAGCCACCAGTATCAGTTAGTAAATGAAAGGCAGGAGTTTGGGGCTTTCCGGTGTTTCCCACCTGCTCAGTGCCAGTTCTTGTTGAGTAAGGCTCCCTCCCTCCCTGGGTCTGGAGGTGAAGGGTATGGTGTTCCAGCACAAGTGCGAATCTTGAATTCTGGGGAAAGGAGAACAATGGGAGGACAAGGTAGACATGAGTCAGTGAGCCAAGCAAGCTGGGTAGTGAGTAAGATGATTGTTATTACGTTGCAGTTACAGCTGCAGGCTGTAGGTGTCTTTTCCTGTTACTTTAGCTGTTTGAGGTACTGGCTTCCACTTTCTTAGCCTCTGGTAGGCCCTGCTCCAAGGATCTTCTTTCTCTGTCTTGGTTATCTGTTCTCTACTTTTTCTGTCTTGGCTTTCTGCTCCCTCCCTCCCTGCCTCCCTGCCTCCCTGCCTCCCTCCTTCCTTTCCTTCTCTTTCTCTCTCTTTCTTATTTGTCTTAGTTTTCTGTTCTCTATTCTGTCTTTTTTTCTGGGGGTGGGGGTCGGTCGTGGGGCTTAAACTCTGGGCTTGTCCCTGCACTCTTCAGCTGAAGGTGAGTGCTCTACCGCTTGAGCCACAGCACCACTTCCGGTTTTCTAGTGGTTTATTGGAGTCTCTTGGACTTTCCTGCTGGGGCTGGCTTTGAATCGCAATCCTCAGATCTCGGCCTCCAGAGTAGCTAGGATTACAGGCGCCCAGCTTCTACAGTTCTGTCTTGGCTTTCTGCTCTCTTCTTTCTTTGCTCTCTACTTTCTCTGTCTTGGTTATCTGTTTTCTATTTTCTCTGTCTTGGTTATGTTTTTTTTTTTCTTTCTTTCTTTTTTTTTTTTTTGGGGTCCGGTCGTGGGGCCTGAACTCTGGGCCTGAGTGCTGTCCCTCAGCTCTTCAGCTCAAGGCTAGTGCTCTACCACTTGAGCCACAGCACTTCTGGCTTTTTCTGTTTATGTGGTACTGAGGAATCGAACCCAGGGCCTCATGCATGCAGGGCAAGCACTCTACCACTGAGCCACCTTCCCAGTCCTGGCACTGGATCTTAATTCTCAGATCTCAGGTTCTTGAGTAGCTAGGATTATTGGTGTAGTCACCAGTACCTGTCTCTTCATTCGGCGCTGACATTCTTTCTGCTCCCTCTTCTGGATTGTTCCCTCAGCCTCAGAGGGAATGTTACATGGTTATCTCCTTCTGCCAAGAGCAAAGCACTGTCTGCTGTTCCCCAGCTGTGTTACAGAACACAATGTGGTGACACATGCCAAGTAAGAGCTCCTCACCTGCTAGGTGCTCTGGTGCCTGTCTGTGATCTCACAGCTTGGAGACAGAAGCAGGAGGAGCACAAGTCTGAGACTAGCCTAGGCAAAATGAGTAGTGAGACTATATCTCCAAAGTGACAAAAGCCAGGTACTCGGGTCTTGAGTATTGGGTCTCTGAGGCATACAATTGTTTAAACTGCCCCAGAACACCTTAGTTTGCCTACAGGCCTTTTGTCCTAATTCCCTGTGGCCTCCCTCTTTTATCAGGTTATACGGGGGAGTTACTGTAGTTGGGAGTTACTGTAGTTAGGAGTTGCAGGACCAGTCTCCCTACATTAGAACAGGAGAGACAGCCCAGAGCTGAGGCCCAGAGGTCATGTGTGCCTGTATCACTGCTGTGGTGAGAAATGCAAAAGAGAGCATGCCCGTGGGAAACAGGACCCTGTCTCACAAACAGCCAATAGTCAAAGGGCTGGAAGTCTAGTTCAGCTTTACAGGGCCTGCCTAGCAAGCCGGGAGGCCTTTAAATCAAACCTCAAATAGTAAAAGAGGGTGGAAACTTAATCCCACCACGGAGTTGAAGGGCCTTGGGGAAGTGATTAGATCCAGTGGTTGGGATGGAAGTCCCCTGGACTGATTATTGATGGCTTTAAGGAGAGGGAAGGAGATGGCATAAGCAGATGTACATGCCTTGATGTGATACAAATGGGGGAACTTCACTGCAGCCCCCCAAAATGTGAGTGAAGCATACTTTTTTTTAAAATAAAGCTACCTGTCTAGCTGGGTGCTGGTGGCTCACGCCTGTAATCCTAGCTACTCATGAGGCTGAGATCTAAGGATCATGGTTCAAAGCCAGCTTGGGCAGGAAAGTCTGTGAGACTCTTATCTCCAATTAACCACCAGGAAACCGGAAGTGGTGCTGTGGCTCAAGTGATGAGTGCCAGCCTTGAGCTGAAGAGCACAGTTCAGTGTCCAGGCCCAGAGTTCAAGCTCCACAACTGACCAAAAAACAAAACAAAACAAAACTACCTGCCTCACGTACATTCTTATTGAAAATGAAAAGCTGACTAGGAGATCCATCTGCAAAAACACACCTGAATCCATATCTCGCCTTAACCTAGATGGGTATAAAATTTTTTTTTTTTTTTGTCGGTCGTGGGGCTTGAACTCTGGGCCTGGGCGCTGTCCCTCAGCTCTTCAGCTCAAGGCGAGCGCTCTACCACTTGAGCTACAGCGCCACTTCTGGTTTTCTGATGGTTTATTGGAGATAGGAGTCTCATGGTCTTTCCTGCCCAGGCTGGCTTTGAACCGCGATCCTCAGATCTCAGCCTCCTGAGTAGCTAGGATTACAGGCGTGAGCCACCAGCGCCCAGCTTAGATGGGTATAAAAGTTTTAAAGAAAATATTGGAGGGGATGGGAAGGTGGTTCAGTGGTAGAGCGCTTGCCTTGCATGCATGAGGCCCTGGGTTCGATTCCTCAGCACCACATAAGCAAAAAGGAAAAAAAAGCTGGAAGTGGCGCTGTGGCTCAAGTGGTAGAGCACTTGCCTTGAGCTGAAGAGCTGAGGGACAGCGCCCAGGCCCAGAGTTCAGGCCCCACAACCGGACCCAAAAAAAAAAATTGGAGAAAAATCTGCTACTTTGTTTTATGTGTTATGCAAAGATTTATAGAAATGGCACAAAGTATGATTTGTGAAAGAAAATAATAAAACTAATTCACTGAAGTTAATAGCAACCAGAATGAAAAATCCATGAGCAAGAAGAAGGAGGGGCCCCTCCCTCTCTCTGCCCAGACCCACCTGGGCTCCCATCTGCCTCACTTCCTAGCCTCCAGACCCTGCTGCTACCTGGATAGCAGAGCTGCCATGCGTTCGCTCTCCTGAGGCAAATATGGTTCCTCCAATAAACCTCATAATAATCTTCCTCCTGTGCCTGTCTGCCTCTGTGTGGTCCCCTTGCGTGGATGTGACAGATCCTTTCATTCTTAAATTTCAAGAGCTCTCTGTATTCTTTGGATACACATTCTTTATCAAATACGTGTTTTACAAATATTTTCTTCTTGCTCATGGACTTACTTTTCATTCTGGTTGTTTTTATTTTTATTATTATTATTTTTTGATCTATACATCTATTGTGGGGGAGGTGTTTTTTTTGTAAGCATTATGCCCACGTTTGGTCCTCAGCTCCACCCACTTATGAGCAAGTCTGCCTTACATGTACTTTTGGCAAGGGGCTACTGACAGCTTTGACAGAGACCAAGGTGGAGTACTGGAGTGGCTAGCCAGGCTTGTGGCTCTCAACAACAGGTTAGAGCAGGTGTGATGGTTTAGGTCTGATGGGGCTCAGCCCTGCTTTTGTTGTGGATTGCTGCAATGATTGAGAATGTCTGTGGTTTGCACCCAATCACCGCTGCCCACAGCATGCCTGGGAATTGCATTGGCCATTCGAGTAGGAGCCAGGTGGAGTCGCTAGGCGCCCTTAGACAACTCCCAGGAGCACTGCAGGTTCTTGGCATGAGACTGATCAATGTTGTTACTTCTGCTAGTACTACGACTTGAACTCGGCTTCTCACTTGTTTGTTTGCTTGTTTCACTCACAGCTGACATTCCTCTTGAGTTATGCCTCCAGTTCTGGCTTTTTCTGGTTAATTGGAGATGAGTCGTTTAGATTTATGTGCCTGGGCTGGCTTTGAACTGCAATTCTCAGATCTCAGTCAGCTGAGTAGCTAGGATTATAGGTGTGAGCCACTGGCTTCTGACGTGACCAAACTTTTGTTACAGGTCACACTGAACCGTACAAAACAGTCTCTGCCCGTGCAGCTGCCCCATCCAGCATCCTCCGGCTTCCAGCAGTGGTTTTTCAAGGAGTCTTTAAGAAATATCCTGAGACCCTGGTGGGGTGGTGCAGGTAAGGCTTCTTTGGTTGACTCTTGTAGCTGCTGTGAGCCCCTCGGGTATGATCTGGGAGCTGGTGAGAGCCAATTAGGGTTCCCTCCAGCTTATGTTAGCTCTGTGCTTTTAGCCATGAGGTGAATCCTGAGAATGTGGGACTTGCTTTGCTGACAGTACTTACTGCCTGGTGACAAGGGGTTCTTGGAAGAACTAGGGCTGTTTTAAAAACTTTGTATTATATATTTTTCAGGGCTAGGAAGGTGGCTCCGTGGTAGAGTGTTGCCTCGCATGGGTTCGATTCCTCAGCACCACATACACAGAAAAAGCCGGAAATGGCGCTGTGGCTGAAGTGGTAGAATGCTAGCCTTGAGCTGAAGAGCTGAGGGACAGGGCCCAGGCCTAGAGTTCAAGGCCCCCCTCCCCTAACAACAACATATACATATATATATATATTTACATAGACATACATATATATACTACAATAACAGTTAATAAGCTCAAGGATGCTGTCAGATTTCCCATTCCCTTACAGAGAGTTTTGAATATTTAAAAATTAAACACCTTATTTTAGAGCAATTTTAGATTTACAGAAAACTTGAGAACAATGCAGTGTCTGTGTATCTTTATTATTCCCATGTTAACATCTACAAAAGTGGTGTGTTATGCTGAGGTCTTTACCTGAAGGACCCCTGGGGAGGGTGACCTGTGGCCTGAAGTCCGGGGCTCAGCTGTACTTCCCCTGGGTTGCTCATGCCTTGGGTCCTGTGCTTGAACGCAGGGTCTGGGTGCTGTCCCTGAGCTCTTTTGCTCAAGACAAGCCCTCTACTACTTTGAGCCACAGCTCCACTCCCAGTTTTCTGGTGGTTAATTGGAGATAAGAGTCTCACAGACTTTCCTGCCAAGGCCGGCTTTGAACCCCAATCCTCAGACCTCAGCCTCCTAAGTAGCTAGGGTGACAGGTGTGAGCCGCCGGCGCCCGCCTGTCCTGGTATCTTTCAGATCATCATGCTGCAGCTGCAGAGGGTGACCTTCCTGGCTCTGTGCACCTACCTGGGCCTGACCATGGAGCTCCCCAATTCTGTGAATACAGAGCCACCACCCAGCCCGTGGCTGCTCTCCTCAGAACAGGGAGGACAGCCACAGCCATGGCACGCTTGGTTGTGAGCTGTCAGGACTCTGGGGGAGGCGATGGTGGGCATTGGGGGGCGTCCTGCGTAACCAGCTGCCCTCTGATGTGCTGGAGGATTCCTGGGAGTCAGGATTTGGACACGTTTATCTTGCCTTATGGTTGTCCAGTGGGTGTATTGTGCCAGAGAGGTTGGTGCTCCGGAAGAGCATAGTGCCCAAGACTCCCCTCACCCTGCCCCGAACAGCCTCCCCCTCCCCCCTGCCCCCGAACAGAGCCTCGCCCCCTCACCCCTACCCCAAACAGAGCCTCCCCCCCCTCCCCCTGCCACGAACAGAGCACCGCCCCCCCTCACCCCTGCCCTGAACAGAGCCTCCTCCCATCCCCCTGCCCTGAACAGAGCCTCGCCCCCTCACCCCTGTCCTGAGCAGAGTACCCCCTCCCTCACCCCTGGAGCAGGGACTTCCCCTTAAACTGTTGGACAGCAAGAGGGAGCAGTCCGTTCAGGAAAGCCCTGAAAGGGAAGGCTGAGAGAGGGGTGCAGGGCTGGAGTGGTTTGAGCAGGACCAGTCTGGGGCCAGGGTTTGCTTGTCTTTCTGTGGCATATGCCGATGGTGAGGTGGACTAAGGTGGGGTTTGCAGGTACACAGGGCATTTTGGAGGGCCCTCCGCTGGCCATGTGCTGCTATGTGCATCCTGCTCCTAGATGTGTCTGCTTGAGCTAGAGCCACACCTGGTGCTCTGTGGGTCCTGCTCTGACTCATGCCTGTCTCCCCCAGATCGTGGGGGAAATGTCCAGCAACCTCTAGGCCTCTGCTGAAGAGCAGCTCCTCCCCTCTGCCTTCAGTCCACGGGGAGATCTCAGATGAGCTGGGGCAGCCCCAGGCTGGTGACCTTGACCCTTCACTGTCACAAGGTAAAGCGCCCCATCGCAGTCCGGTGGATATCGTTATGATGGGCTCTGTATGTCTGAGCTGCCATCTTCCTGTACAGCTCAGGGAGGTAGATCCCCTGAACTTGGTGCAGCTAACAGGTGGATGAGAGAGAGCCCACAGGCCCTGAGGAGCCTGAGCTGGAACTCCACCTTGGGTTGAGTGGGTATCTTTGCACCTCTGTGAACCCCACTCTACCAGCCCTGTGCTTGGTGCCCTCCGTGCTGGGGTCTTGTGTCCACCTATGACCGGCCACCACTGCTGCACCCTTCTACAGAGGCAGGCTCCCCTCCCCTGGTCTTTCCCCTCCCAACTGAGCTGTTCCACATACGTTTGGCCCTTTCTCATTTGCAGCCTAATGCCGAGAGGTCCCTGTGTTCTCTGCTTTCCATCCTTCTTGCCCTGGTCTCCCCTATGTTCAGCTTGATGGATCTCAATTGCAGTCTCAACTGGGCCCTTTGGGCCATTGCTATGTCATCATCAGCCAGCATGCAATGCTCCTTAACTTTTTCCTTCCTTTCTTATCCCTGCTGACCTTTGCTGGAACCCCCGCTTGCCAGTGGCCAACATGGAACATGTGGGTGCCCAGCCCATATTTGTGCTGCTGGCCTGAAGGCAGCCATGTGTGTAGCTCCAGGGATCCCTGCAGCGACTCTGGCAGTGCATCCATGCTGCCCAACCTGCTCATTGATATCACCTCAAGCTTCATGACCTGATTCACCTGAAGGTAACCAGATTTCCTTTTCCAAAATTGTCTGACGATGTATATATATATATATACACACACACACACACATACATATACATACATACATATATGTATATTGTTAGTCCTGGTCTTGAACTTTGGACCTTGGTACGGTCCCTGAGCTTCTTTTGCCCAAGGCTATCACTCTACCACTTGAGCCACAGCACCACTTCTGGCTTTTTCTGAGTAGTTTATTGGAGACAAGAGTCTCACAAACTTTCCTTCCTGGCCTGCTTTGAACTAGTTACTTAAGTAACTAGGATTATAGGTATGAGCCACTGGTACCTGGCTTTGTTTCTTTTATTTTTATTTTATTTATTTATTTATTTTTTGGTCCAGTCGTGGGGCCTGAACTCTGGGCCTGGCACTGTCCCTTAGCTCTTCAGCTCAAGGCTAGCGCTCTACCTCTTGAGCCACAGCACCACTGCTGGCTTTTTTCTTTTTGCTTATTTGGTGCTGAGGAATCGAACCCAGGGCCTCATGCATGCAAGGCAAGCGCTCTACCACTGAGCCACCTTCCCAGCCCCCCTTTTTATTATTTTTTATGACAGCCTGGGACTCTAGGGTCTGGGTACTGTCCCTTAGCTATTTTGCTCAAGGCTAGCACTGCCATTTGAGTCACAACTCCAATTCTGGCTTTTTGGTGGTTAATTGGAAATAAGAATCTCAAGGACTTTCCTACCCAGACTGGCTTCAAACCAAGATTCTCAGATCTCAGCTTCCTGAGTAGCTAGGCATGCAGGTTTGAGTCCCTGGCCTGGCCTTTCCATTGGCCTTTACTTTATGTGCTGTAGTAGAGATCCCTTCTCAGCCTTGTTAGTTTTATTTTTAGTCTTTTGTGGCAGGCTCACTCCAGGTCAGGCTGGCCAGGAACTCATTATATTGTCTAAGTGAGTCTTTTTTTAAAAATTAAATTAATTTTTATTATTTTTTTATTGTGAACATACTGTACAGAGAGGTTACAATTATGTGGGCAAGGTAATGAGTGCATTTCTTACCAGGCATTGCAGCCTCCTCCTTTGTTTCTAAGTGAACCTTAAACACGTCTGTCCTGCCTCGGCACCCAGTGCAGGTGTGTGCCATGGTTTCCTCCTTGGTCTTAATTGTTGCAAACACTCGTCTCCATCAATCAGAAAACTAGCTTTAGAGCTGTCACTTGTCAGGAGTCCTCAGTGTTCCTCTATTGAAAAACCAGCCACCCGCACCTTGTGATTTGTGCTTTGTATTTAATCATCCTTTGCTATTCCTGGCGCATAAATGTATTCTTCTGGATTTATTATTATCTTCCACATCAGAGTCTTTCATTCACACTCATGTTTTGTGAACCATATGTGAGAAGTAGAAGTCAGCTTAATGTATGTGATGATAACTTACCCAGTAACAAAATAGTTGCTGCCTTTTATTTTGCCAGTCCTGAGGCTTGAACTCAGGGACTGGGCTCTGTCCCTGAGCTTCTTTTGCTCAAGGCTAGCACTCTACCACTTGAGCCACAACACCACTTCCAGCCTTTTCTGTGTATGTGGTACTGAGGAATCGAAGCCAGGCCTTCGTGCAAGCTAGGTGAGCACTCTACCACATTCTCAGCCCAGTTGCTGCCTTTTGGTAGAGTGCCATCTTCTTTTAGTTTTCAAGCTTCCGAACCTGCATGGATTTTTAAAAAAGTAATAGCTTTTTTGAGATATAGTTCATATATTATAGAATTTACCCTTTGAAAGTATACAATCCAATGAGTTTTTTTGTATATTCACAATTATTAAGGAATCACCGCCACCCAAGTCTAAGACATTTTCAAAATAAAGAATCTCACACCACTAGTGTTTATTCCTCTTTCTTCTTTCCAGTTCCTTACAACCATTGATTTTAACGTGTTTTCATGATATACCTTGACTTGGACATTTTATAAATTAGATTACATAGTCTGACCTTTGTTTCACCAAGTTACTCTTTAGTTTGTGGTGGCATTGGGGTTTGAACTCAGGGCCTTGCTCTCCCTAGGAAGGGTTCTACCACCTTCTGCCAACCCTAGCTCTGTTGTTTGTTTTTGTCAGTTGTGGGGCTTGAACTCAGGGCCTGGGCACTGTCCCTAAGCCTCGTTGTACTCAAGGCTAGCACTCTACCACTTGAGCCATAGTGCTACTTCTGGTTCTTGAGTGGTTAATTGGAGATAAAGAGTTCTCATAGACTTTCCTTTCTGGGCTAGCTTTGAACTACATTCCTCAGATCTCCCTCCTGAGTAGTTAGGATTATAGGTGTGAGCCACCAGTACCCTGCACAAGCTGTTGTTTTTTGCTGGTTACTTTGGAGATGGAATCCAACAGATTTTTCTCACCAGGCTAGCCTCAAACCACTATCCTCCAGATCTTCACCTCCTGAGTAGTTAAGATTACAGGCATGAACCATGGGTGCCCAGCTTTACTATGTCATTTTAATTTTTATTAACTTATTATAGCCATATAGTATTTATATGATATGCATATCACAAATGGCCAGTTTGATGAATTTTCATAAAACTTAGTAGATGAAAAGCAAAGACATCAGCCACTCTGACCGCACATACTTGTGCTTCCTGTTCCCACCATTGCTTACCTGCCATCTGATTTCTAGAGTATGGGTCAGCTTTGCCTAGTTTTCTTTGTAGAAAAGGGATGATGTGGTATGAACTTGTTTGGACCTGACTCCTTTTGTTCCATGCTGTTTCTGTGACACTCATGCACCCTTGATGTGCAGTTCATCTTCATTGTGTCCATTGAGCAAACATACATGTTTCTGTTGGAGCTACTGGTCATGGAGTCCTTGTAGTGGTGTGGGTGCGGCTTCCTGACAGTTCTCTGAGCACTTCACTGCTCACATTACACTACCCCCTAAGAAATTCTCACTGCTTCAGACCTGGATGTAGTTATTAACATTAAAATACAATGTTCTCCTCAGTTATGCTAGCACATTTCAGGTGCTCATTGGCCATATGTGGACAGTGGCTGTCTTTAGACAGTGCTAGGGTAGAACCAAGTCAGTCTGTAGGTGCACTGTTTTCCTTTTTTGTGTGGCACTGGTCTTGGGACTTGAGTGCTTTTCCCGAGCTTTTGTGCTCAAGGCCAGTATTCTACCACTTGAGCCACAGCTCCACTTCTGGCTCTCTTGGTAGTTCATTGGAGATAAGCCTCTCATGGGCTTTCCTGCCCAGGCTAGCTTTGAAACTACTACTCAACCTCCTGAGTAGCTAGAATTATAGCTTTAAGCCACTAGGGCCCAGTAGGTTTTATCTTTAAACATTATAGTTGGACCAACTTTGCATATTCATATGTCTTAAAATAATGTGTACTAAATCAGAGAAGTCTAGCATCTTAAGAATTCTATGGAAGTTCTGTATGTCTGTGCATACATTTATTTTGTTTCTGGGAGTATGGCAGAGTTTATTCTAAAATAGATTTTGGTATAATATCTTGGTTTGTGAATTATAATTTGTATATTAAAAATAATATAATCATGCCATATGCTATGTAATCATAAATTAATACTCTGAATACATAGTATCTCAGCATGGATAACAAAAGAAAAGAGCAGCTAGGTGCTGGTGGCTCACACCTGTAATCCTAGCTACTCAGGAGGCTGAGAACTTCTTATCTCCAATAAACCACTCAGAAAATCAGAAGTGGCGCAGTGGCTCAAGTGGCAGGGTGTTATCCTTGAACTGAAGAGTGTTCAGGCCCAGAATTCAAGCCCCATGACCAACATAAATAAATACATAAATAAAATAGCTGTATAAATCAAGTGTTTTCCTATAAGGAGTAACTTTAAATATTAGTAGATATAATCTTATTATTGTTCCTGGGAGAAGTACTATTGTTTATATTTTTCATATGAGCTCAGCTATGTTCTTTTGGCATGGAAAGGGTTATGTTGAAGCATGATTGCTGGAGTTTTGTTGTTGTTGTTTTTGAGATTGTGTCTTGTTCTATATATCCCAGGCTGGCTTTCAACTTGCTGTGTAGACTAGGTAGTCTTGAACTTATAGTCTTCCAGCCCCAGCCTCTGAGTCCTGGGATTACAAGTTTGTGCCACCATGTCTGGTTAGCAAGGTTGTTCTTAAATAACATCTTTAAACTACACTGCGGATGCACTGCTAGGTCAAGGGGTCTCGGGGCACATGCTATGATCCAAGAGCTTCTCCCTTGGCTCCGCACTCCTTCCTTTAGCCTGTCAGCATCCTGTGACTGTCTGGTTCAGCACTGCTACTCTCTGAGAAGAGCATCTTATGAAGACCATGCGGCTCAGGTTCAGCAAAGGCCTAGCCTATGTAAAAAATGCTATCTTCACGTGGCTATGAAAAATACTTGACCTCAAGTTAACTTTTCTGGCCACATTCCAGTGACTTTTAAAACTGAGTATTCTCATTACTGACAGTCTCTATATAGTTTGATGCCAGCCTTCTGTGGTTACTTGGAACTGTTTAAATCAATTATTGTGGGTTCTTAAATTTCACTAAACTTGAACCTGTAATCCTGGCAACTCAGAAGGCTGACATTTGAGAATCACTGCTCAAAGCAGGAAAGAGGAAAGTGTGAGACTCTTTTTTTTTTTTTTTTTGGTGGGGGGGGGTCCAGTCGTGGGGCCTGAACTCTGGGCCTGGGCGCTGTCCCTCAGCTCTTCAGCTCAAGGCTAGCGCTCTACCATTTGAGCCTCAGCGCCACTTCCAGCTTTTTTCTTTTTGCTTCTGTGGTGTTGAGGAATCGAACCGAGGGCCTCATGCATGCAAGGCAAGTGCTCTACCACTGTGCCACCTTCCCAGCCCCAGTGTGAGACTCTTATCTCCAATTAACCACCAAAAAGCCAGAAGTGGAGCTGTGGCTCAAGTGGTAAAGTACTAGCCTTAAGCACAAAAAGCTTAGGGATAAGCACCCAAGCCCTGAGTTCAAGCCCCAGGACTGTACAACATTTTTTCACTGGGCTGGGAAGGTGGCTCAGTGGTAGAGTGCTTGCCTTGCATGCACGAGGTCCTGAGTTCGATTCCTCAGCACTGCATAAGCAGAAAAAGCCAGAAGTGATGCTGTGGCTCAAGTGGTAGAGCGCTAGCCTTGAGCTGAAGAGCTGAAGGACAGAGTCCAGGCCCAGAGTTCAGGCCCCGTGACTGACAAAAAAATTTTTTTTTCACTTTCTAGCTTCATGCTAGGGGCTACTATAGCCAGATGTGCACTTTGAGACTACCATCAGATGGGAGATGCTGAGTGCTTCACATACCCACTTGGGAAGTCTGTGCCTTCACCAGAGCAAGTACTGTGGACCCCTGCCATCGCAGACTGGCTTCCTATTTAGGATTGTTTCCTCAGTGGTAGTGCTTCATTGCTGTGTAATACAGAGTGAATCCATCAACCCTAAGTATATAACTCCATGAATTCTGTGTGTGTGTGTGTCCATCACAGGGTCAGAATAAGCCTGCCTCTCCCTTGTACGGCCTGCTTCCCCTCTCCTGTGTGTCTGCATGCCTGTGGCTCTGATTTTGGCTCTGTTGGAACTTACTGTGAGTGGGGCTCATGGACTTTCACCCATGCTGTATCTGCAGTTTGTTATTTTTATCTTACTTATTTATATCCTTCTATTGATGCCAAGTGCTATTTATATGACCCTGTGCAAGTTTTAAAATAACTCTGAGAAATGGGCAATATAAGTCCTATGTGTAGGATGATGAAACTGCAGCTTAGACAGTTGAGATGTCTAATAGTTCTAGTCACTTGCTTTTTCTAAAGGTGACCAGTGACCGTTCTATTTTTATATTATTCTCTTGATGACGTGTGAATTTAATTAGGATGTTCTTGGATTTTTATAAGCATCTCATTCTCAGGGTCCCAGAACGTGAGCTGCCACATGTGATGTCCCAGCGACTAGTCCCCTGTTCTGGTGCTTTGGACAGCTACTAGTCTCCTTGGAGGGCTTTTAAGATTCCAGGCCACCCCTAACCTGATGTGTCATATGTGAGAACGATGTGTTGCGATTAGTATGGAAGACTGCACTTCACTCAGTTAATCTGTACTAGTGTTGTGTGAAATGACATCCTACTCGATCAACATTATGTATTTATTTGTTTATCTTTTGTGTGTACAAGTACCAGGGCTTGAACTCTAGGCCTCATGCTCTTGCTTGGCTTTTGGTGTCATAGTTAGAGCTCTACCACTTGAGCCACACCTCAAGTCTGACATTTTCCTGGTTAATTGGGGTGTGAAGCCTTGAGGCAAACACTAGTACAATAGCAACAACAAAAGCCTGTGTCTCCCTATGTGCTCATGCTGGGTTTGAATCTCTCAGAGAAAGTGACCTTCCTGCCTCAGCCTCCTAAGGGGTCAGAACTACAGGCATGAGCCATGACCATCAGTTCATTAGTTTTGTAATGAGTATAAAAGGGCCACCTCACTCATTGTCTTTCTTTATGCCAGCACTCTCATAAAGTTAATTGTCCTTCCTTACTGAGGTGGAATCTTCTTTCAAATAATTTCACAAAAGTATTAGAATCCATTTCTGTATTTTTCTGCTATACTCCACAGATCCTTTCTTCAAAGCACTCTGGGTTTTGTTAGGTCCATGTTGGCAGTGCCTGCTTTAGTCCTGCTGTTGGTGAGGTCCGTGTTAGCAGTGCCTGCTTTAGTCCTGCTGTTGGTGAGTTCCTGCTGTTGGTGAGGTCCGTGTTGGCAGTACCTGCTTTAGTCCTGCTGTTGGTGAGGTCCGTGTTAGCAGTGCCTGCTTTAGTCCTGCTGTTGGTGAGGTCCGTGTTAGCAATGCCTGCTTTAGTCCTGCTGTTGGTGGCCTCTTTCATCCTATGTGGCCCTCCATTTTTTTGTGTCTGCACATAAATGCCTTTTCATGTCTCTTATTTTTTTTCCTTTTTGGTGCCAGTTCTGTCCCTAGCACTGTCCCTGTGATTTTTTGCTCTACCACTTGATCCACAGCTCCACTTCTGGCTTTCCTGAAAACCTTACAGCATCTTTTCAGTGTTTCATTGGAGATAAGAGTCCCATTGATTTTCCTTCCTGGGCTGTCTTCAAACCATGATCCTCAGAGCTCAGCCTCCTAAGTAGCTAGTCATGATGATAGGTGTGAGCCACCGGCTCTGGCTTATATACCTTCTTCAAACCTTCTGTTTTAGGACCCCTCTCTGTTTGATAGCCAGGTGACGCTTCTCCATGTCCCTGCAGGCACAGTAGTGTCAAAACAAGGAGACCAGGTAAGCAGATGGCCTTGGGCCCAGGGATTGGCCAGGGACTACCATCCCCACAGTTCAGCACTGGAGTATGGGCTGGGGCAGCTCTCCAAGCAGTGGACTGCTGCAATTCTGGCACTGTCTCAGAGGCCATTTGTCCTCAGCAGCCCTGTGCCCGGGTATATAGCCACACCGTGCATATACTTGCTACACTGCCCCTCTTGCCAAACCTGAAGGATTAGGACAGAGTGAACAGATTTGGGAAGAGCCCCACAAAGGACAACAAAGTAGTTGGGGTTAGTCCCTGGATGTTTTTTGAGGGCATACATGTTGATGTTTGGCCAAAACATATGCTGAGTGAAGGATGGCATTGGCTCACATTCAGGGCAGCACACGTCAGGCTGCAGAACACCCTGGCTTTGAAGAGAGGCCACATCCTCACTTCTGTATGAAAACTGGAGCAGTGAGTGGGAGGGCAAAGGGAGGGAAATGCGTGTGTTTGACCTGAAAGTAAGTTTCCTGTGATTGATGAATCACTAACCATAAATACTGCTAAACTAAATTTTTTTTTTATTAGCTTTTTTTTTTTTTTTTTTTTTTTGAGTCCGGTCATGGGCCTGAACTCTGGGCCTGGGTGCTGTCCCCCAGCTCTTCAGCTCAAGGCTAGCGCTCTACTACTTGAACTACAGCGTCACTTCCGGCTTTTTTCCCCTGCTTATGTGGTGCTGGGGAATCGAACCCAGGGCCTCATGCATGCAAGGCAAGTGCTCTACCACTGAGCCACCTTCCCAGGCCCCCATGAGACTCTTATCTCCAGTTAACCACCAGAAAACTGGGAAGTGGAGCTATGGCTCAAAGTGTTAGAACACTAGCTAGTCTTGAGCAGAAAAGCTCAGGGGACAGTGTCCAGGCCCTGAGTTCAAGCCCTACAACCAACAAAACAAAAGAAAAAAAATGCTATAGAACTATTGGAATGCTCCCGGTAGGTGTCTGTGCCCAAGGCTTTTTATGTCCACAGATTATTCAAAGAAGCACCAATAGGCATGGAAGCTACTGCTTGTTGTGTTCAGTTTTGTGGGCTTTGCAGAGCTCCAGAAGGTTAACTTCTCTGGGCCAATAGGAAATTCCAGGCCATACCTGATGCATCTCTGTTTTTTGCCAGGATGTAAACATCTTATTTGTGGTCTCTGGACTGCTACACATGTACCAACAGAAGATTGACTGCCAGAAGGATACCTGCCTGTTCCTTACACATCTGGAGAAATGGTAGGCCAGCTGGTGGTGCTTACTGGCAAACCCTTGATCTTCACTATCAGAGCCAACAGGGTCTGCTGCTTCTTGTCTATCTCCAAAGCCCACTTTTATGAGACAAGCCCCACCGCCCTCTCACCCACCCTGAGGTACCAGGAGCACTGTCTGTCTTGTTTGTTGTACTTTCCTCTGTCTCTGAGGGCTGGGAGGCTGGGCCCAGTGCTTGCTTCCTGAACCCTTTGAGCTCCTGCTGGCTACAGGCATTAGTGCCGTGACCAGCCCAGTAAGTCCCAGCTTCCATCTGGCCCATCGATATCTGCTAAGTTCTGTTTTCTCCTTGGGTATGTGGTGCTGACCCATCTGTGTGTGTGTGTGTGTGTGTGTGTGTGTGTGTGTGTGTGTGTGTGTGTGTGTGTGTGTGTGTGTGTGTGTGTGTGTGTGTGTGTGTGTGTGTGTGTGTGTGTGTGTGTGTGTGTGTGTGTGTGTGTGTGTGTGTGTGTGAATTCCATGGCTATGTGTTGGTGGCCAGAGCTGGAATAGGAGAGCTAGGGAGTTGTGTTCTTTAGGCTGCTCATGCTCAGGAAATCCCTTCTGTGTGTACACGTGCGCGCGCGCGTGTGTGTGCACGTGCATACACGCTCCCATGTAGATCTGTCTGTATGCTGGTACTAGGGTTTGAACTCAAGGCCTTGTTCTCATTTGGCTTTTGTGCTTGAGGCTGGCACACTATTATCAAGTTACACATCTACTTCCAGCTTTTTGGTGATAAATTGGAGATAAGACTCTGAAAGACCTTCCTGCCCAGGCTGGCTTTGAGCTTCAGTCTCAGATCTCAGCCCCCTGAGCAGCTAAGATTATACCATCAGTGTCTAGCCAGGAGACCAGTTGTGTTATCTTTTTTTCCCCTAGTTTTGTTTTTTGTTTGTTTGTTTTTGTGCCAGTCCTGGGGCTTGAACTAGGCGCCTGGTCACTGCCTTTGAGCTTTTTTTGCTCAAGGCTACCACTGTACCACTTGAGCCACAGCTTCACTTCTGACTTTTGGGTGATTAATTGGAGATAAGAGTCTCACGGACTTTCCTAGCAGGGCTGGCTTTGAACCTGGATCCTTAGATCTCAGCCTCCTGAGTATCGAGGATTACAGGCGTGAGAGACTGGCCCCAGCACTTTTTTTTTTGGTGCCTTCCTGGGGCTTGAATGCAGAGCCTGGTGCTGCCCCTGAGCTTTTTTTTTTTTTTCTCACTGGCTAGTGCTCTACCACTTGAGCCACACCTTCACTTTGGGCTTTTTGTGATGGTTAATTGGAGATAAGTGTCTCATGGACTTTCCTGCCTGAGTTGGCTTCAAACCATGAGCCTCAGATCTCAGCCTCCTGAGTAGTGAACCACTTGCATTCAACTCACAGCAACCTTTTTATAAATATTCCTAGAAGGCTTCTGTCTCTCTCAGTCCAGATGCCTCGTATGATCACTGAGTTCTTACGCCGAACAGCCAAGTGGCGGGTCAGACTGTAGGGAGCTGTCAGGGACCTCGAAATAGTGGAGAAGCACAGCAGTTTCGTCTCAGCCAAGACACATCCAGAGCAGTGGTTCCAGTTGTCCAGAAGGTGGCAGCCTTGGGCAAACAATGCCACAGCACACAGCTCTCTGCTTGGCTCTCCTTCCAGGTCAGTGTCTTGTGAGGGGATTCAGTGGGGGAAGGGACTGCAGGGCTTTGGCACAGTGCCTGATTTCTCTCCATGAATAGCCCTAAGGCCTCCAGCTTGCCACCCTGTTCTACTTACTATTCAGTGTGCTAGGGAAATGCATCTTACAGACGGGGACTCTGATGCTTTAGAGAAATGGAAATCCGCTAGGTCCTTGCACTAGCAAGGGGTTCCCAGAACGGAGCTGGGTTTGTCTGTCTCCTGAACCATGTGAATATGCCAGTCCCAGAGGTTCAGAACATGCTCTTGGCCTGCTGCCCCCCTTCTGTTCCCTGCCTATCTGTACTAGGGAGAGACTCTGGACAACTGATGTCTCATGCATATAATCCAAGCTATTCAGGAGACTGAGATCTCAGTCCAAAGCCAGCCTGGCACACGAAGCTAGGAAACTCTTATCTCCAATTAACCAGCAGAAAGCCAAGAAAAGAAACTGCTAGGTGCTGGTGACTCATGCCTGTAATACTAGCTACTCAGGAGGCCGAGATCTGAGAATCGTAGTTCCAAACTAGTCCAGGCAGAAAAGTCTGCGAAACTCTTATCTTCAATAAACTACTAAAAAAAGCCAGAAGTAGTGCTGTGACTTAAGTGGTAGAGTACTAACCTTGAAGAAGAAGGCTCAGGGACAGCACCTAGGCCCTGAGTTCAAGTCTATGACCAAAAAAAAAAAAAAAAAGGAAGAAAGATGCTCAGTGTGGTTGTCAAGGCACACAGCCTTCCTGTCCTTTCCACTTGGCCTTCATGTAGCCTGACTCTTCTGTGCCCGGTGCATGTGTTTGTCACCTTGCAAAGTCCATGTGTGAGTCCTGTCTGTGCGTGTACATGTCTGTACATGGTGTGAGAACCTGTGATACAGACAGTTCCCCCCCCCCCAGACATCATCATCTAGACAATATCTTGGGGTTTCTTATTCAACTCTGGGGGCACAGCATGGATTTTACTTCTCAGAACCCATCACCATCCAGCTGCTGTCTTGCTATTACTCTAGGCTGGGGAAGGGGCTCCCATCATCCAGAGTAGGAGGCACAACTCTGATTTCCTGGTTTTTACCAAATGGCATCTCTTTTTTATTGCTCAGCTGGGACCCAGAGTCTCTCAGCCCTGGTTCTCCCTGCCTAGTACAAGCAAACAGCGCAACGAGCTGAAATCTCCCCCCGAACCACTAGGACGTCCTTGCCGTGCCTTGCCTAAGCAGTCTGCCCACAGCCACCAGGGGGACGGGATGTGTTGGGTGAGAGTCCCCAGCCTGCCCAGCCTAGACAGTCCTGTAGGCTCAAGGCCCCTTCAAACTATGGTGGCAAAGGTGCGTTGGGAGCCGTGTGCCGCCGTCTGTTCACAGTCTGAGTTTGGTGAGTGATTCCACTGCCAGGACCTAGACCTCAAGGGGCTTTCATGGTCCGTAGCACTAGAAGAAGCTGTCGGCTCTGTGGAATTGGAGCAGATGGCTGCCCAAACACCACACTCCGCCCCAAACCATCCCTCAGCACTTTGTTACCTCAGAGTGGACATGGAGACTAGTGTTTGGTAGGTAAGGTTACCTGCTTTTTAATCCCTGTGAAGTGAGTAGTGAACCTAGTGGAATTCAGATCAAGAGAGGGAAAGTGACTCTAGAATGCCTTCCAGGATCACGTGGAAACATCCAGAGGTTGTCCTGAGTGTGGCACACACTGTGGTGAAGAGAATGTCACCCTTTGTGCAGCAGATAGACTTCACTCTGGACTGGATGGAGGTAGAGGCTGGGCGTGCCATATGCAGGTGAGGCCTGGAGGTGTGCTGTGTACAGAGAGGTCCCTGAAGGCCTGCAGTGTCAGAAGACTGCTGTGGTGCAGTGTATAGAGAGGTCCACTGGCTAGCAGATTTCTCCTCCATAAATGTGTCCCTACTTCGAGTAGTACAGCTGAAGAGCAAACTTCACTCTTGTGGAGATTGTATACCAGATGGATTTATCTCCCTAGGCATCCACATGAAAATGCCCTTGTAGGCATCTTGAGTTCTGTGTGCAGCTGTATACATGCAGACAAAGTACATTTTTACTGACATCTTTCTGTGTCTATATCCTAAGTATGTACCGCCTTTTCAAAGAGCCTGAGAACCCGTTAGAATGCCCTTTCTGAGGAGCTGGTGTATGAGGTCTTTTCCTCTAACCCTAGCTAGGCCACTCATGGCCAGCTTCACATCGATATTCATGGTGTTCATATTTTAACGTAAGAAAAGTTTAAAAAACTTATTAAAGCCAACAGACCATCGATGTGTGCTTGTGAAAACATTTTAAAATAAAAATGCCTATGCTTTTCAAAACCAGAGAATTTCACTGAGAAGACTACCTTTTGAAACTTTAATCTTCTCATCTTGGGGCTGAGGGACTCTTGGGAGGCTGGACCTAGGGGGAGTGAAGGCTGGTGAGCTGAGGGCCTCAAGTAGACAAATCAGACTGCACATACATTGTCCTTAGTGGCCGACTGCGTTCTGTGATGGGAAGAAGCACCTGGCTGGGGAGTGTTTCTGGGGAGACCCCATGGGTGTGGTAGGTGGTAGGCCCTCCTTTCTGTTTCCTGGAACTGGCCTGGCTGGCTGCCTGGACTGGGGAAAGGTTCCCTGAGAGACTCCAGGATGGGAGATGGTTCAGCAACAGATCTGGAATGAACTGCTAATGCCTTCTGGGGACCAGGGTGCTGGACCCTGGTTTCTGGGTCCTAGTGAGTACCCAGCCAGTGTTGGGTCATGGTTGGTAGGGAGTGGCCAGAGTCACCGTCTGAGGATCTCCAGTGACAGCAGCTGCCAGCTGGCGGAAGCGTCCCAAGGCTGACTGGTTTGGGTCCATGCCTCTGACCTGAGCTGCTGGTGACTTGTTCCAAGGTCCACACCAGTATTTTTGGAGCTTAGAGCTTTTTTCTTTCTTTCTTTTTTTTTTTTTTTTTTTTTTTTACTGTTTTTTGTTTTGTAACAAATCTTCAATTTACCTGAAGAAATTCAGTTTAAAAAACTTTTTGTAAAGCTGGGCACCGTTGGCTCATGCTCAGGAGGCTGAGATCTGAGGATTGCAATTCAAAGCCAGCCTAGGCAGGAAAGTCTGTGAGACTCTTGTCTCCAATAAACCACTTAGAAAACCAGAAGTGGTGCAGTGGCTCAAGTGGTAGAGGGCTAGCCTTGAGCTGAAGAGCTGAAGGGCTGAGGGACAGCGTTCAAGCCCAGAGTTCAAGCTCCATGACTGACAAAAAACTATTTACTATGTTTTAATTAAATCCTATTTCTGATAATGCTTTAAAATCATATGAAGAAAAATATAAATGTTTCACAGGTTTGGTCTACAAATCATTTGGGAAACCAGCTTTTAAAAAATGGACTTGAGGGCTGGGAAGGTGCCTCAGTGGTTAGAACACTTGCCTTGCATGCTCGAGGCCCTGGGTTCGATTCCTCAGCACCACATAAGAAAAAAAAAACCAGAAGCGGTGCTGTGGCTCAAGTGGTAGAGTGCTAGCCTTGAGCTGAAGAGCTTAGGGACAACGCCCAGGCCCTGAGTTCAGGCCCCACGACCGGACCAAAAAAAAAAAAAAATGGACTTGAGCTGGGTACTGGTGGCTCACGCCTGTAATCCTAGCTACTCAGGAGGCTGAGATCTGAGGATGGAGGTTCAAAGCCAGCTGGGGCAGGAAAGTTCATGAGATTCTTTTTGGGTTTTTTTGGTCATGAGGCTTGAACTCTGGGCTTGGGCGCTATCCCTCAGCTCTTCAGCTCAAGGCTAGTGCTCTAGCACTTGAGCTACAGTGCTACGTCCAGTTTTCTGGTGGTTTTATTAGAGATAAGAGTTTCATGGACTTTCTTGCCTGGGCTGGCTTTGAACCACGATCCTCAGATCTCAGCCTCCTGAGTAACTAGGATTACAGGCGTGAGCCACCAGGGCCTGGCTTTGTGAGACTCTTATCTCCAATTAATCACCAGAAAACTGGAAGTGGCGCAGTGGCTCAAAGTGGTAGAGTGCTAGCCTTGAGCAAAAAGAGCTCAGGAAAAGGGCCTAGGTTCTGAATTCAAGCCCCATGACCGACAAAATAATAATAAAGTAAAATAAAATCAGCTACCATAACACTCATGAACTGAACAGAACCTCCCTCAAATCCATACTATACAGTTGGACAGAACTTTTGTTTTTCTGTTCTATTTTCCAACTTACTCATGTCACAAAAAGCCCCCAAATACCCTTAGCCTCCAAAAATCAGTCTTCAAATGAAAGATCTGTTTCACCTCTAAAACAAACTCAACTTATTTTTCAATAGATGGTTGTCCTTTCATATTACAGTTGATGATAATTGCAGTTAATTTGTAAATAACCTTATGAATTGAAATGGATCAAACTAAGCCTTTGTAAAAGTGACTAGTTTAATCATGGGCCAAATACAGTGAGCTTGAATTAGAAAAATTAAGATTCAAACATCAATCTTTTCTTCCTCAGGTGGAGACGCTGAGCCACCAGGCCAGGGCCACCACCGTGCATGCTGTTCAAGACTCAGAGCTGGCCAAGCTCCCCACAGGAGCCCTGACGTCCATCAAACACAGGTACCCACAGGTAGGTGTGGCTCAGAGCACTTGCTTCTACTGTACCTGTGGGTCAGGTGGCTATTCAGTCAAGTATGGATGAGCAGAACCTAGAAGAGGCAGGATTACATGAGGAGAGAGGCCCACGGCTCTGGGTACAGAGCGGTGGTGCTGGAACAAGGTACTTACACTGTGTCTCAGGCGGTTGGTCAGCAGCGTCTTCCTCCTAGTGCATACTGTGGATGTCGCAAGCCAGGAAAGAACCAACCTTAACAATTTGGAGGCCCAGCCAGGGCTGTCGGTGAAGGGAAGGGATGGCTGAAAACTGCAGATCTGTGATTGTTAATCAGTGTGATTAACAATGCACGGTATATTCTGGAACAAATGGGGAAATGAGGATGGTGTGGCGCCCACGTTTCCAGGCTTTCTTCAGGACAATGTGCCTCCTCAGCGCCCAGGCCTCTCACTTGCTTTACTATTTGAGGCTTCGCAGAGGGTCATTGCCCCCAGCTGGCAATCCTGCTCTTGTGGCTCATAGAGTAACACAGACTCAGATCTCCGTCTCTAAGAGGCCTCTCGCGATGCTGGCAACCATGACTGCGGTTGCTGTAGTTGCCCGTTTAGGGACCAGAAGAACCTGGCAGAACAAGTGAGTGAGTGGTGTGCTGCGTCTCAAGACCCAGTATTCAAGGCTGCAGCTACAGGCCATCCTCTGCCTGTGGGGTCAGGGTGTGGCGGGACTGGGGTGTTGCCGCATCCTGGAGTTTGGAGCCTTCACCATTGGTGGCACCTCCAGTCAGGAATCTTGGCTGTAGGCCACACCTAGAGAGGCTGCTCTGTGGTTCTCCCCAGCCAGGAGCTGGAGGCTAGCTGTGGGTGGAGTCGGGCGGTAGGTATCCATCCATCAGGAAGGTGATGGGGGCTCTCCTGGGAGGTCCAGTAGTCTGAGCCCTGTGGGTGTGTCCACAGTGGCCCCTGACCCCCTTTCTAGACATGAATGCCTGTGCTGCGTGGCTCCCTTGGCCACCTGCCCCCTCTTCTGTGGGCTGCTCCTTGGTGGCAGAAGTGCATTCAGCCTGCTCCTCTGGGGATCCAGAGACTATTCCATGTCCTTGTCTCCAGCCTTCCCACAGCAGATCAGGCTCTTGGCCTGCTCATGCCCAGGCTCACACTGGGAACCTCCGTGGGCAGGCTGAGCAGCAGGCCACAGGCTGGAAGGAGGTGGACTCAGCTTGGAGACCCAACGCTGCCTCCTCATGTGGACACTGCTGGCTGACCACACTGTGCTGTCCACACCGGGCAGCATCTCCCCATGGGGCATTCTGTTCTTGTCATCAGGCCCTTGGGCCACATGCTATGGCTGAGCCCCCTGGGGTGCCCTGTCCTGTAGGGGCCCTGTGGTGAGGTGTTCTTAGCCCCTGGACCTCACCCTCAGATTGCTTTCTTGGATTTTAGAGCAGAACGCAGCCTTCTGCCTGGGACTCCTTCCACTGCCAAGTAGTGCTCCACAAGCGTTCCACAAAACGTGACTGTTAGGACTGCACTGCGAATAAGCACATCCTTTTCTTGTTATTGTTGTTTGTTTTGTTGGTTATGGGCTTGAACTCAGAGCCTTGGTGCTGTTCTTGAGCGTTTGTGCTCAAGGCTAGCACTCTACCACTAAGCCACAGAACTACTTCTAGTTTTCTGGTGGTTAATGAGAGGTAAGAGTCTCACAGACTTTCCTGCCCAGGCTTTGAACCGTGATTCTCAAATTTTAGCCTCTTGAGTAGGTAGGATTACAGATGTGAACCACTAGTACCTAGCTGCACATTCTTATCTGTCTGTCTGTCCTTCTGTCTATCTGTCCATCCATCCATCCATCCATCTGTCTGTCCATCCGTCTGTCCATTTATCTATCTGTATTTGGTGGTAGTGAGATCTGAATCCAGGTCAGCACTCTTCCACTGAGCCAGACTCTAGCCCTGTTTTGCTTTAGTTACTTTTCTGATAGAGTCTTGGGTTTTTGGGTCTTTGACAATGGCCTGCTTCAGATCTCAACTGTCCTGCCTGTGGCCTCCTGCATGGTTTGAATTACAGGCACAGGCCACCACAGTCAGTTTATTTGTTGAGATCAGATCTTGCTAACTTTTTGGCCCAGGCTGGCCTTGAACCACAATCCTTCAATTGCTACCTCTTAGTAGCTGGGATTACAAGTGTGAGTCTCTATGCCCAACCTTAGAATATCTTACTGAACAGACTAACCTCCCCCTCCAGTTTTTTGTTGGTTTGTTTTCGTCGGTTGTGGGGCTTGAACTCTGGGCTTGGGCTCTTCAGCTCAAGGCGAGTGCTCTACCACTTGAACCACAGCACCACTTCTGGTTTTTTAGTGGCTTATTGGAGATAAGAATCTCACAGACTTTCCTGTCGGGGCTGGCTTTGAACCTCGATCCTCAGATCTCAGCTTCCTGAGTACTAGGATTACAGATGTGAGCCACTAGCACCCAGCTGCCCTGCCCTTTAAGATCCTCTTTCTTCCATCTCTCAAGTAGCTGGGATTGCTGGCAAGTGCCACACACCCCAGCTCGCTAGGCATATTCTTAACCTTGTGGACAGCTCATCTGCTTCTGGAGTTGCTGGGTCACAGGATGATGTGTTTGTAGGGACTGTAGACAGTTCTCCAAAGCAACTGTCTTGCTTCACAACATAGTGTCTGAGTCCATGTCTCCACACTGCACATGCTCAGTGAGGGTGTCTCTTGGTATGAGCCATTTATTCTCTTGGGAGAGAAGTGGCACCTCACAGTAGTGTGAGTTTTTGTGTCCCTGATGGGCAGCGATGCTGAGTACTTGTAAATGCCTTTATTGACCTGTTTTGAACCTTTGCCACTTGACAACATTTTTTAAATAGCTTGGAATTAAGTTTTAATTATGACAATTATTATGGCTATGTTTTTAAGGACTTATCCTTTAGAGCAGGAACGGGGCATGTCCAGTCTACAGGTCGCACAAGGCCCTTAAAATAACGTGGTGCGTGACAGGACAGACACGTGCTTCTCATATACTTCTTGTTGGCTGCTGCAGCTGTGTGCATAATCGATAATTTTGTATGTCCCACAAATGACGTTATAAATATCCACATGGCCCTTGGTAGAAAAAAGTTTTCCCACCCTTGCAGGAGCATATTCAGACATTAGTGGATACAGTGCTGTCTTTGGGACTGGCTTCAGAGTGTCCAGGGGTGTTTGTAAAATGAGGCTGCTGAGGAGGACAAAGGCAGAAGGGGATCCCTCTCTGCTTTGTGTGTATTTCAATTTTTATATAATAAAACTAATTGTTAAAGCCCTAATTTAACAGTTGGTGTTAGATTAGCAGCATGAAAAACATTATGCTTACTGGGTGCCCGTGACCCACGGCTGTAATCCGAGTACTCAGGAGGCTGAGATCTGAGATCGTGGTTTGAACCCAGCTCAGGCAAGAAGGTCTGTGAGACTCTTATCTCTAATTAAGTACCAAAAACCTGGAAGTGGAGCTGTGGCTCAAGTGGTAGAGTGTTAGTATTGAGCAACAAAGCTCAGGGTCAGTGCCCAGGCTCTGAGTTCCAGCCCTAGGACTTGCACAAAAGAAAGGAAGAAAGGAATAAAGGAAGAAAAGAAAGGAAGGAAGGAAAAAAGAAAGGAAGGAAAGAAGGAAGGAAGGAAAGAAGGGAGGGAGGGAGGGCCGACCATCATGCTCTCTGGTTTGTCTCAAACTCCTCTGCTCGGACTGTTCGCTGTCTCATACCCTAAGTGTGGGTGGTTTTTCTTGCACCCTCCGTAGGCCTTGGGTCCCAGCGTCCTGGGCCAAGTTAGCCCTTCTACCTCCACTGCACTGTTCTGGGCCGGTGGATCACTGCCAGGCAGTCAAACTAGCTCCTTTCATAGTCGCACTGAGCTCTCTCAGCTACAGAGTGTCTGGAAGCACACTGGAGGGGAATAGGAGCTGGGCTGAGGGTAAAGGAAGGGCTAGGGGTGAGTGGGGTGAAGTTAACAGTTGCTCATAGGAGTGACATCACGCAGCTCTGCAGTGCATGTGCGGCTCTTCAGGTTATCTGGGTTTATAGACTCAGACTGCAGCATTTCTTCTCAGATTATCCTGCACAGCATCTAAGAGTACCAGTGGTACTGCCTGTCCAACAGTCCTCTGTCAGCTTGTCTGCCTTAGGAATAAAAAGCAAGCTGCGGGGGCTGGGAAGGTGGCTCAGTGGTAGAGCGCTTGCCTTGCATGCCTGAGGCTCTGGGTTCGATTCCTCAGCACCACATAAGCAAAAAGAAAAAAGCCGGAAGTGGCGCTGTGGCTCAAGTGGTAGAGTGCTAGCCTTGAGCTGAAGAGCTGAGGGACAGCGCCCAGGCCCAGAGTTCAGGCCCCATGACCGGACCCCCCCCAAAAAAAAGCAAGCTGCTTGGTGTATTTCAGTGGTCACACTTGAGCTCTGCCTAGTATACACAAGGCATTAGGTTCAATACCCAACATCACCAAAAAAGGGAGGAAAGCCCTAACACTTAACTAACTTTATTCACTCGTTCATCTTTTATTTATTAGAGACTGGGACTCATTATGAAGCCTAGGTTGGCCTCAAGCTGGTGGCCCTCCTGTCAGCCTCTTGAGTGCTGCGATTATAGATATGAGATACCATAGCTGGCCGTAAGTTACTTTATTCTTAAATAATCTTTTTGTTGCTATTTTATTTATTTTTTATTTTCTTGTTATTTATTTTAATTTTATTTATTTATTTTTTTTGGTTAGTCGTGGGGGCTTGAACTCTGGGCCTGGGCGCTGTCCCTCAGCTCTTCAACTCAAGGCTAGCACTCTGCCACTTGAGCCACAGCACCACTTCTGGTTTTCTGGTGCTTAATTGGAGATTAGAGTCTCACTGACTTTCCTGCCTGGGCTGGCTTTGAACCATGATCCTCAGACCTTAGCCTCCTGAGTAGCTAGGATACAGGCATGAGCCACCAGTGCCCAGCTTTATTGTCATTATTAAGGTGTTGTACAGTGGGGCTACCCTTTCATAAGTCAGGTAATGAGTGCGTTTCTTTTTTTTGGACAATGTCACCTCTTCCTTACTTTTCCCCAGTTCCCTGCCCCCCATCTCCACCCACGAGTTACACAGGTCATTTTCCACATAGTGTATGCTGAATAGAAAGACTGCATTTATTCACCCTTCCTCCCTCCCTTTCTATGTCCCTTCTCAACTACCCCCCTGAAGAAAAAAACCTCAAAGCATAAAAACATCACCACCAACAATAACAAACAACCCCTCCCTCCCATGTTTCCATTTCCTGGAATTTGTTTTGGTATATACTATTTTTAAATGTTCAGAGAAGTTACACCTTTGTGACCCTCTTGTAATGATAGCCTCTTTTAGTCTGCTTGTGTGTAATTGCCCAGAGCTCTGTACAGGTTATCATGTCCAGTTATGTTTTAGATCTAGCTTCCACGTGCCATTTGTCTCTCCAGGCTTGGCTGACCTCAGCATAACTTTTCTAGGTCCATCCATTTTCCTGCAAATAACATCATATTATTCTTGCTAATGGATGAGTAAAATTCCATTGTGTGTGTGTGTGTGTGTGTGTGTGTGTGTGTGTGTGTGTGTGTGTGTGTGTGTGTGTGTGTGTGTGTGTGTATTCTTGATCCACTCATCTATGGTAGGACATCTGGGCTGTTATCCTATATTGGCTATTGTGAATAGTGCAGCAATGAACATAGATGTGCAAGGGTCTTTACAGTATTCTGACTTTTAATGCTCTGGATAGATGCCCAAGAGTAGTATGGCTGGGTCATAGGGAAGTTCTGTATTTCATTTGAGGAACTTCCAAACCTCCTTCCAGAGTAGTTGCACTAGTTTACCACTAGGGGTCCTTTTCCCCCCACACCCCAACCTGCATTTGCTGTTCAGGTTCTTGACATTGGCCAATCTAACTGGGGTGAGATGGAATCTCAAAAGTTATTTTGTGATTTGCATTTCCTTTGTGGCATTAGCATTTCCCTGTGCTTCTTCTTTTTTTTTTTTTTGGGTCCGGTCGTGGGGCCTGAACTCTGGGCCTGGGCGCTGTCCCTCAGCTGTTCAGCTCAAGGCTAGTGCTCTACCACTTGAGCCACAGAGCCACTTCCGGCTTTTTTCTTTTTGCTTCTGTGGTGCTGAGGAATCGAACCCAGTGCCTCGAGCATGCAAGGCAAGTGCTCTACCACTGAGCCACCTTCCCAGCCCTTCCCTGTGCTTCTATTTGCCATTTTTACTTCTTCTGGGAAGTCCCTCTTTAGCTTCTTTGCCTATTTACTGATTGGTTTAGTAGCTTTGGGAGGGATTAGTTTCTTGAGCTCCTTGTATATTTTGGATATGAGGCCTTTGTCTGATGTATTGCTAATAAAGATCTCCCCCCAGTTGTTGGCTCTCTTTCTAGTTTATAACCATGTCCTTTATGGTGCAGAAACTTTATTTTGATGTAATCCTATTGGTTGTATCTTTCTCCTCTCTGTGTGCCCTGGGACTCTTCAAAAGGTTCCTACCTATGCCTATAATTTCTAATGATTCTCCTACTCCATCTTTCTGTAGTTTCAGATCTGATGTTAAGTCTTTGATAAACTTTGAGTTGGTACTCACGCATGGTGACAAACAGGTATCCAATTTTAGTTTCCAATATATGCATGTCCAATTTTCCCAACACCATTTATTGATGAGGCTATCTTTTTTTCCACAGTATTTCTTTGACTCCCTTGTCAAATATCAAATATTAAATTGTAGGTATGTGGCTTTATTTCTGGGTCTTCTCCTGAGTAGCTGGGATTACAGGTGTGAGACATTGGCACCTGGCTTCTTTTTTCTTTATGTATGTGCTTAGAGCTAGGAACTTTCCTCTCAACACTGCTTTGGCTATACCCCAGAGGTCCTGGAATGATGTGTTTATATTCTTGTTGGATTGTAGGAACTTTGTGATTTCTTCTTTTATTCCTTCAGTGGCTCACTTGTTATCCAACATTGTGTTATTTAGTCTGCATGTGTTCCAGTGTTTTCTGTATATCTTTTGCTGTTGAGATCTAGTTTAATTCCATTGTGCTCAGAGAGGATAAGGGAGTTGTCTCAATCCTTTTGTACCTGCTCAGACTTGTTGAATGTTCATAGATATGATCTGTTTTGGAGAAGACTCCATAGGCTGCTGAGGAGAATGTGCATTGCGTGGTTGTTGAGTGGAATGTTCTGTAGATGTCTATTAAGTCTATTTGGGTTATGCATCATTTAACCCAGAGGCTTCTTTGCTGATCCTTTGGTTGGTTGACCTGTCCTTTGGTGAGAGTAGGGTGTTAAAGTCTCCCACTATTGTGTTGGGATTTATCAGTCTTTGTAAGTCTGTTTGTTTAATGTATTTAGTGCTTTATTGTTTGGTGTATATGTATATATATATATATATATATATATGTATGTACATATATATTTGGTGCATATATATTGACCACTGTAATTTCCTCTTCATGGATCATTCTCTTTCTTAATATGTCATGATCTTCTTTGTCTCTTCTTACTGCTTTTCACATGAAGTCTGTTTTATCTGATAACAATATGGAGGCTCCTGCCTTCTTGCAGGGTACATTTTTGAAAGATCTTTTTCCATCCCTTCACTCGGAATTTGTGTTTATCTTTGACTGTTGTGAGATTTGTTTCTTGGAGACAACAAATGATTGGATCTTGTTTTTTGATCCAATCTGCTGCTATAAGTCTTTTGATTGGGATATTAAGCCCATTGATGTAACATTACTATAGAGAAATATGTCATGTTTCTTAAATTACTTTATTTTTATGTAAAAGCATTTAAAATAAGTTTATAACCATTTTATCAAATTAAAAATTATTTTTTTATCTGGACCCCGGTGACTCACGCCTTTCATCCTAGCTGCTCAGGAGACTGAGATCTGAGGATCACAGTTCAAAGCCAGCCCGGGCAAGAAAGTCTGTGAGACTTTCAGCTCCAATTAAATCACAGAAAAAGCCAAAAGTGGTGCTATGGCTCTAGTGGAAGAGTGCTAGCTTTGAGCAAAAGAGCTCAGGGACAGCACCTCAGGACCAGCAAAAAATAATTGTATACATATACATACACACACACACACACACACACACACACACACACACACACACACACACACACACACACACACACACACACACACACACACACACACACACACACACACACACACACACACACACACACACACACACACATATTGCTGGGTGCTGGTGGTTTACTCCTGTAATCCTAGCTACTCAGGAGAGACAGATGACAGATCTGAGGATCATGGTTCAAAGCCAGCCCTGGAGGGAAAGTCCCTGAAGACTTTTTTGTTGTTGTTGTCATGGGGCTGGGCTTGGGTGCTGTCCCTCAGCTCTTCAGCTCAAGGTGAGCACTCTACCACATGAGCCACAGAGCCACTTCCAGTTTTCTAGTAGTTTATTGGAGATAAGAGTCTCAGGGAGGGGCTGGGAAGGTGGCTCAATGGTAGAGCGCTTGCCTTGCATGCATGAGGTCCTGGGTTTGATTCCTCAGCACCACATAAGCAAAAAGAAAAAAAAAGCTGGAAGTGGCGCTGTGGCTCAAGTGGTAGAGTGCTAGCCTTGAGCTGAGGGACAGAGCCCAGGCCCAGAGTTCAGGCCCCACAACCGGACCCCTCCCCCCCCCCAAAAAAAATAAAAGAGTCTCACGGACTTTCCTGCCAGGGCTGGCTTTGAACCATGATCCTCAGATCTCAACCTCCTGAGCAGCTAGGATTACAGTCGTGAACCCCAGGCACCCGACTCCCTGAGACTCTTGTCTCCAATTAACCAACAAAAAGCTAGAAGTGGAGCTATGAGTCAAATGGTAGAATGCTAGCTTTGAGCTGAGGGACAGTGCCCTGGCCCTGGTTATAAGCCCCAGGACCAGCGCACAAACAAAACAAATACCAGGATGTGGAAACATGTTTTGAGGGGAGGGTAATGGGGGAAGAGGAATGGAGGGAGGAAGGGCGAGCAAATGCAGTCATAGCATTTAATGCACATTATGTAAAATATGAACTATGTAACTTGAGGGTAGGGATGGAGGGAGAAAATGGGGAGAGACTGATCAAGAAGCATTGTACTCATAACCTACCTATTGAATTGTAACCTCTTCCTACAACTATATAGTAACAATGACAATAATAATAAGTGAAATGTGTGGCTTGGGTTTCTTTCTCTGCACCACAGTGGTGACTCGCTTGATTCATCTCTTGGGTGAGACGATCCTTGCAGATCTGGCAGGGATCTGCTGCGGGTGTGTTGGGCCCTGCCTTGGAGCTCTGCGCGGGTGGTGTTTTGCCTCTCCTGCTTGCTCCAGCTGCTTACCCAAACCAGGTCCCAAACCAGATCCCAAACCAGATCCCTGCTGGGCCCAAGAGGGAGGAGACAGCTCAGAGATGGGAAGACATTTTGGGATGACACAAAGTGCTGGACCTTCTGGCCTTCAGAAGGGCCCCAGAGCTCTTACCAGGGAAACTTTGAACAGTGCTATGATTTTGGCTGTGCCAGGAGAATTTTGCCAAGATATATCTCATTGCAGGTAGTCTGGAAGGAAGCTTTGCTGTGTCTGAAATACAATGCAATATACTTCCCTCCTTTTTTTTTTTGTCAGTCACGGGGCTTGAACTTGGGGCCTGGGGGCTGTTCCTGAGCTCATTTGCTCAGGACTAGCATTCTACCATTTTGAGCCACAGCACCACTTCCAGTTTTTCTGGTGGTTCATTGGAGATAAGAGTCTTACGGACTTTCCTGCCTAGGCTGCCTTTGAACCGCGATCATCAGATCTCAGCCTCCTGAATAGCTAGGATGACAGGCGTGAGCCACCAGCACCGGGCCTCCCTCCTGTTTTTTCCATAATGAACTAAATGTTTGTGCACACCATATACACCACACTCATCTCTCTCTTGCCTCTGTGCTCCCTGCCTGGAGAACCCTCCACATATTCTGCACCCATTTTCAGTGCAGTTCCCCCCCCCCCCCCCCCATCTACCACAGGGCTCCCAGCTCTCATACCCTACTTCATTTCCTACCAATTCTTTTTTACTAACTTATTTGTGGTCTGTCTGGATCATCCTATGGGAGGGCAGGGCAGGGTTCTTTTTTAATGGTGGTGGTGGTGGTCATGGGGCTCCTGAGCCCTTTTGCTCAAGGCTAGTGCCTTACCAATTTGAGCCAAAGTCCCACTTCTGGTTTTCAGTGGTTCATTGGAGATATGTGTTTCATGGGGGCTTTTCTGACTGGACTGGCTTTGAACATCATCCTCAGAGCTCAGCCTCAATAGCCAGGATTACACGTGTGAGCCCCCAGCACCCAGCTTACATGTTTTTAAACTTGTATTCTTTTTCTTCTAGATGAAGGTATCCAGGGAACTATTCATTCATTCTTACTTTCTCTCTCTAATGTTCAGATAGAATAATTTCCCTGATAAGTCTTCATATCACTTCCTCTTTCCTCTATCACCCTAATTCTGATATTAGGCCTATACAGGGAGGTTTTTGCTAGTGTGCTTGGGAGGCCAAGTCTTACTGTGTAATCCAGACTGGCCTAAACTTCCTCCTGTGCTGCAGACCAGCCTCACACGCGCCTCCTCCTGCCTCAGACTGCTGAGTGCTGGGATTGGCAGGTATGTGACTCTCTGTGCATGCCCTGCAAAGCTTTCTATTCCAGTTATTGTATTTTGGCTCTTCATGTTTGGGGGGATTTGGAGTCACTATATTTGTTTCTGGGGTGTCTGTTACAGTAGCTTCTTTTTTGGGGGGCTGGTTTTTTTCAAATAATTTTGACATCTACGACATGTCATTTTGTCTGTTGACTTTCCTCTTTGCTTGCTTTCAGTACACCTGAAAATTTGGATCCTGTCTCGGTATTTGGGGTATTATGCTCCCATTTTCAGCTCTTAGTAAGCTGCCATTGTGCTTGTATTTTTATCCCATGTCCTAGTCACTCACTGGCCGAGGCCATGTGCTTCCCAGAACTGTCCTGGAAACAGCCTGATATTCTGTGCCATCTCCAGTTCTCAGGGCCATAGTAGGGATTCTGGGTAGTTTCTACTGGGGCCAGGTTAGCACAAGCAGATCTGAGAATTCCTTTCTGTACCTTCTACTTCTACTGGTTGGGGCAGGGCAGATAACTGAAGAGGTAGGTGGGAGCTGGATGTTTGCCGATGCTTGCTCACAGCTTGCCCATCTCCATGGAGAACCTTAGGAAGGGGGTCTTGTTTTGTGAAGCAAAGCAGGTCTTACCTTGTGCCTGCAGGCCCTGAGCCAGGTAGGTGCCTGCCTTCACTTCCGAAACCTGGCCACATCCAGCATCTCCCGTAGCTTGTAACAGCCAGGAGAGATGTTCTTTCTCCACCTTTCTTTGGGCAAGAGCCAGAACTTCACAAGTGCCCTGCTGAGAGACTAAGAAAAAGCTGTGTAAATAAGCAGTAAAGCTCCCATCCCTTTGGAGGCTTCTAACATCTGAGATTGCTGAGAAGGATGAAGGGAAGAGGATTTCCAAGGAGGATCTATTGCATGAAGAGCAAGAGTGCATTGAGGTGAGGAGAGAGAGAAGCGAAAGTAGGAGGAGGAAGAGGAGGGGCCAGGGAGGGAGGGAGGGCAATGGCAGGGAGGGAAAGATTCAGACCTGCTGTTGGGTCTGGGGAGGTGGTTCTCCTGAGTCTGCTTTGGCCTGCCTGCCTGCCTGCCTGCCTCCCTCCCTCCCTCCCTCCCTTCCCTCCCCTCCCTCTCCTCCCTCTCTTTCCTCCCTCCCTTCCCTCCCTCTCCTTCCTTCCTTCCCTCCCCTCCCTCCCTTCCCTCCCCTCCCTTCCTTCCCTTTCTTTCCTCCCTTCCTTCCCTTCCCTCCCCTCCCTCTCTTTCCTCCCTCCCCTCCCTTCCCTCCTTCCTTCCTTCCCTTCCACTCTCACTCCTGCCCTCCCTCCCACCCTTAACTTCCTTCCTTCCTTCCACTCCCTCACTTGCTTCCTTTTTGTAGGAAAAATATTGGGATTTGAACTCAGAAAGTTGTTTTTGTTTTTTATAATACTGGGGTTTGAGCTAGAGGACTTGTTCTCTCCCTCCCTCCCTCCCTCCCTCCATCTCTCCCTCCCTCCCTCCGTCCCTCCCTCCCTCCCTCCCTCCCTTCCTTCCTTCCTTCCTTCCTTCCTTCCTTCCTTCCTTCCTTCCTTCCTTCCTTCCTTCCTTCCTTCTCTTTCTTTCCTTCTCTTATTTTTTTCTTTCCAGTCCAGGGCTTGAACTCAGGGCCTGGGCACTGTCCCTGAGCTTCTTTAGCTCAAGGCAAGCACCCTACCACTGAGCCACCTTCCCAGCCTGGAAGAATATTTTCTAAATTCCAAAATTCCAATGTCTCTGAATCTTCAAGCTCCTTAGGATCAAGACTAGTTTACTTCTGGGGCCAGTGCTGGGAGCATCCAGCCCTGGTGTGGAACCTGGGGTGGTTTTCCATTAGGTGGACCAGGATTGTCCATCAGGAGGAGGCCGGGGCATGACTGGCCACCGTGAGACCAAGAGCAGACCTTGGCCTCACCTATTGGTGCCATATGTCGTCTGGAAAAGCCCGAGGCGGTCCTGGCTGCGGTCCAGCCTTTCAGGCGGATGCTTGGCCTTGTACTGCAGGTCACCAGCTTGGCCTTCACACCGTGGGCAGCAAATGGGACTGAGGAAACCCAGCCAGCAACCTGTCCACGGTGGCAGCGATGCCCGTGTCTGAGGATGTGCCTCTCACTGCCTTAGCCTTGGAGCTCCAGCACGCCCTGGGGGCCATTGGGAAGCCTATGAAATCTCATGCCCTGTAATCTGGAGCCCTGACGTGTTTAAGAAGCCCCAGAGTGAGAGCTCCCCTCCGTGCTGGGGCAGACCTGTGGGTGGAGGAGGGCTTTGCTCCAGATCCTGCACCCAGGGGGATCCTCAGGTTGTAAGGTCTGCTTAGGCACCTTGGTGTGGAAGCATTTGACGTGCCAGCTGCCCCGGGTGCTTCCCTGGGGGTGGAGGGGTGCTCAGGAGCTGCTAGTGGGTCCTTCAGCTGTACCCCTCTTCAAAACATGATCGTTGGCCCTCAGCACAGAACCAGTAGACCCTGTCTGGGTTTTAAGACTTCTGGGGTGGGGGGTAGTATTTCAGGGATGGTCAGAGAGCCGGTTGGCTTCCTGGAGGAAGGTACTGTTGTTTGGGGTCAGTAGCTTGTATAGTAGAGAGTGAGGATGAGTCCCCTCCCTGGATGGGCACAGGGAGCCCCTACATCCTGTGTTGAACCAAGGACTGTCTGTCCAGCAGGAAGAAGCACATTTCTGACAGCTGTTAACATTTCAAATTTAAGAACAAAAAATACAAATTCCTGCTGGTAATCCTAGCTTCTCTGGAGGCTGAGATCTGCAGATCCCGGTTCAGAGCCAGCCCAGGCAGGAATGTCCGTGAGACTCTCCAATTAACCACCAGAAAACCGGAAGTGTCACTGAGTCTCAAGTGGTAGAGTTCTAGGCTTGAGCTGAAGAGCTCAGGGACAGTGCTCAGGCTCAGAGTTCAAGCTCTATGACGGACAAAACAACAACAACAGACTGTCTTTCCAAGTGGCTGTGCTATTAGCAAGTCCACACCATTGGTGGAATTCTTTTTTCTTTTTATAAATATATTTTATTGTAAAAATACTGTACAGAGGGATTACAATTACATGAGTAAGGTAATGAGTACGTTTCCTATTGAGCATTGATGCCTCCTCCTTTGTTTTCCCCAGCCATCCCTTCCCTCCCACCTGAACACCTTCTCTTTCCCCTCCCAAGTTGTAAAGTTCATTTTCAACATAGTGTCTTGTACATCTCATTGTTACAATGGTTCAACCTGTATCCCTATTTATACATTTTGTTTTTATCCTTCCCCTCCCCAAATTAGAAAAATGTATATACAAGATTTAGGTGCCCTACATCTTGTATATGCCATGGGAGAGGAATATACCAAAGAAACAAAAAAATCACACCATACATTATAAATACATTAAAAACAATAGCAAGAAAGAAAAAATCATTTGTGTCCCTATCTTGGGGTTCATTTCACTTAACATCATCTTTTATGGTCATATGTACATGGCTTTTGGCCTTTTCTGCTTGTCCTAAATTTATACTAGTTATTGCAAATAAGGGAAACCATGGGACCTATGTTTCTTTGGCTGGCTTACTTCACTTAATATAATTTTTTCCAAGTCTTTCCATTTCCTAATGTCATTCTTTCTGATGGAGGCATAGAATTCGTGTGTGTGTGTGTGTGTGTGTGTGTGTGTGTGTGTGTGTGTGTGTGTGTATGTGTATGTATACCACATTTGATCCAGTCACTACTAAGGGGCATCTGGGTTGGTTCCATATCTTAGCTATGGTAAACAAGGCTGTGATAAACATAGCTATGCTGGTAGCTTTAGTATGGCCTTGTTTGTGCTCATTTGGGTAAATGCCCAAAAGTAGGATTGCTGGGTCACAGGGAGCTCTATGTAGAGTCTTTTGAGGAATCTCCATACTGCTTTCCAAAGTGGTTGAACAAGTTTACACTCCCACCAACAATGCAGTAGGTTCCCTTCTGGCCACATCCCCTTGGTGGACTTGTTGCTCTGTCTAGCCAGCATTTGGTGTCAGTTCTTTGGATGGGCCATTGTAATAGGTGTGCCATGGTCCCTTATTGTTTTAATTTATATTTCCCTTATATGGTGTGAATCATTTTTACATGTTTATTTTGCACCTATAAATGTATTTTGGCTATTTTTTAACATCTGTAGTACATTTCCTTAATTAGGTTGGTTTTTTGTTTGTTTGTTTGTTTTTGTCAGTCATTGGGCTTGAACTCTGGGCCTGAGTGCTGTCCCTCAGCTCTTCAGCTCAAGGCTAGCACTCTAACAGTTGAGCTACAAAGCCACTTCTGATGGTTTATTGGAGATAAGAGTTTCGCGGGAGAGGTGCTCACGCCTGTTATCCTATCTACTCAGGAGGCTAAGATCTAAGGGTGGAGGTTCAATGCCAGCCTGGGCAGGAAAGTCCGTGAGACTCTTATCTCCAATAAACCACTAGAAAAACACAAGTGGCGCTGTGGCTCAAGCAGTAGAATGCTCACCTTGAGCTGAAAAGCTGAGGGACAGCGCCCAAGCACAGAGTTCAAGCCCCACGACCAACAACAACAAAAAAAGTTTCACGGAGTTTCCTGCCCGGGCTGGCTTTGAACCATGGTCCTCAGATCTCAGCTTCCTGAGTAGCTAGGATGACAGGCATGAGCTACCGGCGACCGGCTGTTGTTTTGTTTTTGTTGGTCTTTGCTGGAACTCGGGCCTGAGCACTGTCCCCAAACTCATTATTCAAGGCTAGCATTCTACCACTTTGAACACTTCCAGTTTTCTGGTGGTTCATTGGAGCTAGAAGTCTCACAGACTTTTCTGCCTGGGTTGGCTTTGAACCAAGATCTGTAGATCTCAGCTTCCTGAGTAGCTGGGATTACAGGCGTGAGCCGCCAATGCCTGGCAGTAAAGTGATTTTTTTGGTGGTTGAGGCAGGTGAATCACTGGAAGCCGAGAGTTCAAGGCTAGTCTGAGCAACACAGAAAGACATGGTCTCAAAAAGAAGCCAGCTTTTATTAATGCTTAGGGTGTGTGTGTGTGTGTGTGTGTGTGTGTGTGTGTGTGTGTGTGTGTGTGTGTGTGTGTGTGTGTGTGTGTGTGTGTGTGTGTGTGTGTGTTAGGGGTGTATGTGTGTGTGTGTGTGTGTGTGTGTGTGTGTGTGTGTGTGTTGCCAGTCTTGGGGTTTGAACTTAGGGCCTGGGTCCTGTTTCTAAGCTTCTTTTGGCTCAAGGCTAGCACTCCACCACTTGAACCACAGCTCCACTTCCAGCTTTTTTTTTTTTTTATTGTTTTTTGTAATTTCTTGGAGATGAGCATCCCACAGACTTTTCTGCCTGGGATGGCTTTGAACTGTGATCTTCAGATCTCAGCCTCCTGAGTAGGATTATAGGCCTGAACCACCAATGCTTGGCTAGTTATTAGTTACATACATACTCTTGGAGAAGCTTGTTGGGAATGATTAGACCTTGGGCCCTAAGCGGGAAACGGCTGTGGAGGTGGCCGGGGTGCTTGCTTCTCCCCAGCAACATGGCCCATGATGTGGATGAGAGTGAGTACCACCGTGTTCTTTCCTCAGATTCTGACTCTGGCTCAGATACGGACAATGGTGTGCTAACCGGAGAGACACAGTGCAAAAAGATGGGGGTAAACCTGGTACCTGCACACACACGGTGGGATGTGGGACTGGCCTCGGGCAGGAGAGATCAGCCTCCGTCTGGCACAGTGAGAGTCGCCACCAGTGCCCTCCAGTGTGCTAACCTCAGCACAGGAAGTAGCATTCCGGACCCTTGCTAGTCTTCAGGACAGACCTGTGTAACCGGGGTCGTATTCTCAGGCCCTGTCCTGCTACTGACCAGTGAGAACATCAGATAGTGCTTTGGCTCTGCTGTTCTGGACAGGTACACTAGCCTCCAGCACTTGGTTTTCCCCACATAGAAGCAGCCTGGAGAGCCTTCACTTACTCCTCTGGTTTACTGTAGGTATAGTTCTGTACCTTGGCAGTGGTTTGCTGTCTGACCACACCCCACTCCACACGCATGCTAGGCACCCTCAGTGCCTTGCAGCCTTGTCGTACGGACAGTTCTGCGCTCCACCTTTTCTTGAGTCCTAACCTCTAGGCTCAGCCACAGCCTCTGCTCTGCTGCCTAGACCCAGGCCCTTGTGCTTCTGTGGGAGGAAGGCATACTAATAAAGGTGCCAGTGCTCTTTGAGGGCCTCCGAGAGCCTCCACAGAAAGTGAAGGGCCACATCCATGTTTTGCAGTATCCACGCGCACCGGCTATCCCGTTGGCTGGGGCAGCAGGAGGACATCCACCGAGGTGTGCGCTACCAAGCAGACAGCACCCTTACCCCGTGGGCCCAGCGTTGCGTCTGGCAGGCTGACGGCACCCTCCTCGTGGGCCTGGGCCAGCAGGCTGACGGCACCCTCCTCGTGGGCCTGGGCCAGCAGGCTGACGGCACCCTCCTCGTGGGCCTGGGCCAGCAGGCTGACGGCACCCTCCTCGTGGGCCTGGGCCAGCAGGCTGACGGCACCCTCCTCGTGGGCCTGGGCCAGCAGGCTGACGGCACCCTCCTCGTGGGCCTGGGCCAGCAGGAGCCAGCGTGAGGGAGGCGAGGGCACTCCCTCCTCAGAGTCCTGCTTCTCTGTCCTTACAATGAAGCATTCCCAGAACTCGGGGGGCCTGCTGGCTGTGGGGCACGACACTGTAGCACGCTTCACCATGTTTGCCTCCCAGGCTCTAGCACAAACCCAGCAGGTGCCTGTTAATCCAGGCTCCCTGTTAAAACCTCATAGATATTATATAAAATGCTACTCCCATGTTTAAGATTTTATTGAAATAGTGCCTTATTTTATATCATTCTGGAATTTCCTTTTTCCTAATGGTTTTGAGTTTGTCCATCCATTTATATGGGTGGATTTTTTTTTTTTGTCGGTCATGGGGCCTGAACTCTGGGCCTGGGCGCTGTCCCTCGGCTCTTCAGCTCAAGGCTAGCGCTCTACCACTTGAGCCACAGCGCCACTTCCAGCTTTTTGCTTTTTGCTTATGTGGTGCTGAGGAATCGAACCCAGGGCCTCAGGCATGCAAGGCAAGCGCTCTACCACTGAGCCACCTTCCCAGCCCCCGCCTCCATTCATTTTTATACTATTTGGTTTCCTATTTGTGAGCACTCCACAGAAGGCATTGGCTCATGTGTTCTCAGTCAGTGGACTGTGAGGCTACTGTTCAGAAACAAGACATGTACACAGTGCCTTCCGATATCCAAGAGCCGCTGCCCAGTGTGCCTTCATGCTTACCAGATGGTGCCAGGTTGCTTTCCTGGTTCATTCTCAGTTTTCTTTGTGTGTGGCTGCAGGTACAGCCGCAGGGCGTCATCCCTGCCCTTCCCAGTACTGGGCTTCCTCAGCCTGTTTCTCTCCTGCAACTCTGTGGTGTGACGTGTTACGCTTCCCACCTCCTCTCTGTTCCACTGCCCTGCCCTCATCTTTGGCTTCTGCCCAGCCTGTTTAATCCTCGTCTCTGCTGTATCCTCCTGTTCTTCAGGAGCGATGCTCTCCTGTGAGGGTAAGTACCTGAAAGAGATCGTAGTGTGTGCTCACGGAAAGAGGGGTCCCCTGTCCTCGCACTCGCTTCCCTGAGCCTGACTGCCGGCACACACGGGCAGAGGCTGCGGTCAGAGCACCTCTCCCTGGAGAGGCCCAGCTGGTCACAAAACCAGGGAGCCACTCATTGAACCCACCCAAGGCTTTCTGTTGTGTGTGGGGCCAGAAAACAGGACAGTTTCCAATGCAGATCTTGGTGGCAGGCCTGTGCTGATCTTGGCTCTGCCATGCCCTCAGTCCTGAGACTAACCTGAGCTAGCTGACTGGGCCCTGCTCCCCCCAGCTGGAGCGGACGCTGGAGAACACGGCCATGCGTGCCCAGAGACAGCTGACCCTACTGCACAGGAAGAGGGGCCTGTGCCAGCCACGCCATGGAGCGGCTCAACACGCAGAGCTGGAGCTCTGGCCACCTGCACCTCCGCTGCCCACGCCCTGTCTTCCCCAGGAGGAGCTTGCCCAAGCTGGTGAGACCTGGTGGGCTTGGGCCCCAACTGCACCCTCCTCTCATCTCTTACCTCGTGCTTGTGCATTCAGCATCATCTCCCTCTTCCTGTTGCCCAGCATTGGAGCTCTGTGAGCTCTGGTTCGGAAGCTTGCCTGTGCTGCTTCTGAACTCTCTACAAGCCTGTTTGCTTGATCATGACTTTGGTTTTCTTGGGCCCCCGAAGAGTCCTGTGTCTGCAGATGAGGGGAGGTTCATCCAGGTGGAGCCTGGGGACCAGTGAATCCAGAAAGATGGGACTGATGGGCCAGGAGGTAACCAGGGACTAAGCTGAAAATTTCACTTTCAGCAGAGACCACCCCTCACCCCACCCAGCAGAAGCTGGCACCACCCTTGGTACCTCTTCCTGAGAGGGCCCTTGGTCCACCGGCCCAGAGGGGAGGGGAGGGGACCACTGGGGCTGTCCCATGCCTCAACTTAGTCACAGTGTCCTGGCGACTGCGTCTCTGGCTAGGACCTGGCAGGGCCATTCCTGTGGGAACGCCTCCGAGGGGCTTGCATCCTCTAGCGACTGCGTCTCTGGCTAGGACCTGGCAGGGTCATTCCTGTGGGAACGCCTCCGAGGGGCTTGCATCCTCTAGCGACTGCGTCTCTGGCTAGGACCTGGCAGGGCCATTCCTGTGGGAACGCCTCCGAGGGGCTTGCATCCTCTAGCGACTGCGTCTCTGGCTAGGACCTGGCAGGGTCATTCCTGTGGGAACGCCTCTGAGGGGCTTGCATCCTCTAGCAGCTCAGCAGTTTCCTCCGGGCAAGCTTGCTCTCTCCTCAGTGACCCTAGGTTGCTGTGGGCAAGTGCCATGGGACTGTGTTCTGGAGAGGAGAGGACCATCGGTGCGGAGTGAAGAGGCCCCCCAGTCGGTGAGGTTTCTGCACAAGCATGTCATCTTTCAGCTCTTCTCAGGTGGAGATGTACGCGTGTCTTCCAGAGGCCTCCAGACCGGCACTTGGGCTTCTCCCGCTTGGCACAGGTGCTGACGGGCAATGCCATCACCTTGGTTCTTGGAGGAGGGGGCGCAAGGTGAGCCCTGCAGCCAGGTGCCGCTCCACTTGCACGTGCAGGCGATGGTTACCCCACAGGTGACAGGAGCGGGGGGGGACCCTAAGAGCACAGCGGGCTCTGTCCTCTTCAGGAGAGTCCCCATGAGTGGCGGGGTGCGGCTGGCATCTGAAGCCCCTGGGTGCACATGTGCGGGCAGACCCAGAATGCCCAGGGTTTGTTGTTGCCAACTGGATAAGACAATGTGTCTCAGATTGTCTTTGCTTAGAAGCGTTGACTTGCTGGTTAGCCGCTGCTGACTCTTCTTCTGAAGACAGTCTGTTCTTTTTTTTGCCAGTGTCCCCAGTGGGATCCCAGCGAGCTTCTTTCTATGTTAACAGTGCTGTATAGAGTATATATTCTCACAAACTAGACACGTTTAAAGGATCTATTGCCCAAACAGTTCCTACCTTGAGTTGTTGTCTGACTCTTGCCACCCCTCTTCTGAACTTTAAGGGAAATGGAGGCGAGGAGCGTGTGTGACAGGGTGAGACCCTGTGCATGCTGCTGCACCTCCCCAGGAGCTGGCCTGCCAAGGCCGTCCTGGGCTTTGTGCTTCTGGGAACTGCGGCGGGCACTGCGGCGGCCTGGCAGGGTACGCAGGAGCCGGGTGCTGTACGGAGCCAGGGCCTCCCAGCTCTGACACCCCACTCTACCCGGGGATGAAATGATAGCACCAGACTCACTTAGTTGGGATCCCAGGGTCTGGAAGCCTTCCACCTCACTCTTCCCCTGGTGTCTTATGACACTTGTATGTATGTTTGGAAGACTGGTCTGGAGGGAGAGAGGCTCACGTCCTCTCCGTGCATCCAGAGAGCAGGGAATTAGAGCAATTGGATCTAAACCCTTGCCTGGCATCTGGGCTAGATTTACTGCATTTTGAATTATAGTGGCCTTTTTAAGATTCTGCGCATTCATTTTTGCCCGTTCTGGGGTTTGTACTAAGGGCCTCCTCCTTGCTTGTGTTGTACTGCACCAGCACCTTTGGCCCATACCTCTATCTTGTTTTGTTTTTGCCAGTCCTGGGGCTTGAACTCAGCCTGAGAGCCATCTCTGAGCCGCTTTTGCTCAAGGGTAAGCACTCTACCACTTGAGCCACAATGCCACTTCTGGCCTTTTTGAGTGGTTTATTGGAGATAAGAGTGTCATGGGCTTTCCTACCCAGGCTGACTTCAAACCATGATCCAGATCTCAGCTCCCTGAATAGCTAGGATTACAGGCATGAGCCACTGGCACCTGGCTCAGCCTTTTTTTTCTGATTATTTTGGAGATAGAGTCTGAAGGACTTTTCTTCTTGGGCTGCCTTCAAACCCACATTCTTGATCTCAGCCTCCCAAGTAGCCCGTATTACAAGCGTGAGCCACTGGTGCTAAGCTGAAAACGGCGTATTAATCAAGGTACACTTAAAAGTCATGTGATTCTGTAAGGCATACTAAAAAAAAAAAAAGCATTCCTCTGTCTATCCCAACCACAGTGCCAGATCTAGAGATTTCCCAGAACTGTTCACTTCCAGGTTTTTTGTGGTCAGCTGCTTCCCTGCATTTCTAAATAGTATTCCCATTGGCCTAGTTGTGTGGCCTTTTTGGCTTTAGGTAGCTGGCTTCCTAGCCCTGCGGCTTGTGTCCGTCTGTGCACCTCTGCATCGTGCATCTGTTGCTCTACCTCCCACCCCAGCTACAGCCCCTACGTGTCCAGCCATGGCTTAGCTCTGAAAGAATCACACCACCATGACGCCACACAGCCAGCGCTGGCTGGACACGCAGGGACTATTCTAGGAGCCTCATGTGTCCTTTTGTCTTCCTTCTTTACTGAGCAGACGGATGTGCACGCGACGGATGTGTACCTGTGCTGTGCTCCCCTATGCCTTTGTTGATGAGCACTGTCTGCCTGCCTCTACCTTTCAGCTCCTTGGGTACTTCGAGGACGGCTGTGTGTGCGATAACTGTGTCTGGAGTCTCTGTTGTCTGGTTTTCCTGTGGGTCCACTTTTGCTGTCTGTTTTCCCCCTTCCCCTGGCCTTATGGTCATGCAGTCTTTTCTTCTGGTAATGACTGGTAGTTTTCGGTTCAGTAGCACACATTTGGCATGAAGATGGTAACAATTATTTGAGGCTCTGGATGGTAACTTCAGTCTGGGTTTGAAGATACTCTGAGCTGGATTCCTGGTTTCTGTGAGGCTAGTCCTTGTCCAGTTTGCCCTTCTAGGTATTTACTAGGACCTCTCCTTTTCAGCCTGTTGGTGTCCCAAGTGTTTATGGGTAGAAGAGCCCCCACAGTGGTGCGCCCTGGCTGTGTTCCTCCTCCCCATCTCAGACCAGAGTCTCCTCAGCATCTCCAGATAGAATTTTAAATTACGTTGAGATTTCCTCTCTGAGCCAGCATCTTTGCACCATTGTGTAGGAAACTGAGGAGGGACGTGCAGGCAGCCATGGGCATCAGACTCTAGGTCATATGGAGGGGCACAGCTCTACGGTTGGCCTGGAAATACTTCTCTGTGTTTCTGCTGGTGAAGAGGCTGTGCCCAAGTGGGCGTTCTCAGGGCCCTGGCAGAATGTGGCATCCCTGTGGACATGGTTGGAGGGACCTCTGTTGGGGCCTTCATGGGCACCCTGTATTCTGAGGAGCGGAGATGTAGGTCTGGGCCAAGCAGTGGGCAGCGGTGAGTCCAGCGTCACGGATTTGCAGGCCTCATGGGAGTCCCAGGAAAGAAAGGGTGTGGCTAGGGTAGGAGGTGGTCTGAGATTCCTTGTGGGAAATGATCTAGTGGGGACCAGGTCCCCGCTGGGGGAGGTCACTGAGGGACAGCATGGTTAGACATTGCTACTCAGGAGGAGGTGGTGTTACAATCCCCATAAATGATAGTTTGGGGATGGGGGCAGCAGAGGCCTAGGACTGGTCAGGAGTGGAGAGTAGTAAGGTGGAGGAAGGGAGGCCCGGCCTGGAGTTTCTATGACAAACATGGCAGGGTGAACAGCTTCAGATCAGCTATGGGGGTCAGTCCAGCAGGCTTGGGAGTCCCCTCATTGCCTTGTCCTTGCCCTGGATGATTTAGGAGGGGAGAGCATTACCTTGACATGAATCAGACCATGGAGGGGTGGGGCGCAGGTTGCATACCACAGCGAAGATGTGAGCCACTTTGACCAGTAGCCTGGCCTCGTCATAAATGGATGCCAGAATGCAACATCAAGTACCGAATCAAAGGCAACACCAGCTGCCCAGCAGGCAGGTGGCTCACGGCCCTCTCTGCCCGGGCTGCTCCTGTGAAGTAAATGGTGCCTTGCTGAAACCATGCGTGGGATCAAACGCAGTCGTGTTCTACTTTTTAAAGGAAAAAAAAACGGTGATGCTCTATGTTTAAGCTGAGGAATGGACTGCCTGCTGCATTCCCAAGGACGCTGACATCCCGACTCTTCTCTGTCATGATTGCCCATCACCCCTTCGTGTGACCATCAGGAGAGAGGGCCTCTGGGTACCCTGCACCTTAGTGATGTGGCAGTGGTCTCTAGGGATGCCCCCCCCCCAGCAGTGACTGCAGGGGACGGTGGCATAGGACAGCTTAGTGAGCAACCCTGGCTGAGACCAGCTCAGGGCTGAGGAAGATCCTCTCCCTTCCCTCCCCTGCTGGTCTAGGAGAAGCCTGGGCAGGTTGGGCTGGCCCTTCCATCATCCTGAATGGAGCTGTGTGTCCCTCCCAGGGTAGCCACCCTGCAGGGATCTCTTGCTGGCCAGGATGGTCGTGGAGCTGTGCACCTGCCTAGTTGCCATGTGGTGAGCTGGTGCAGTGGGGCTGAGCAGGGCTTCCTTGAGAACAGATTGAGGCCCTGCATGGCATCTCCCAGTTCTCTGCGTCTCTGTTGGGTTGATCACTCAATTGTCTTCAAACAGGGAGGTTCCTCACTCTACATGAGAAATGAGCTCTGGACTGAGGGCCGTTCTGGCTGCTGGCCCTCCCGCATTTGTTGCTCTACCTTGCCTGGAGCTATCTGTGCCAAGCCGGCAGCTCTGGATGGACCCTCAGGGCAGGAGGGTGCTCTAGAACTCTCTAAAGCCGGGCTGGTAAATCCTGCCCGAGAACGAGAGGGAACATGGGACCCGGGACCTGGGCTCCATGGGAACGTGTCCCATCTTTTAGGCCTCCACTCACTTTGCGTCTCAAGCCATGGCATATGTGCCCCTAGGGTCAGATGATCTGGGCCTGAGGGTGTTCCCACAGCTGGAGGCATAAGCATACATACGCTCCTATGCTGCTCTAGCCAGGGCGCGTGAGCCCTTTGTAGAGGTCTCCTTTGTCTCCAGAGCATGACATTGATGATGAAGACCGTGCTGGACCTGCCCTACCCAATCACGTCTGTGTTCTCTGGGGCTGGCTTCAACAGCAGCAGCTGCAGCATCTTCTGGAACCAGCAGATCGAGGTGCACTGCCCAGAGATGCCCTCAGGATAACAACTACGTGGGGCTTTTGTGGCTGCTCAGGACCCTCCCATCCCTCCTTACCCACGGTGGCCTTGGGCAAGCCTGGTCAGTGCAGAGTGGGGGGGACCGCCGGAGAGCTCCCCCCGACCCGTCCTCCCCACAGGACCTGTGGGGGGGGGAGCCCAGGAGAGCTCCCCCTGACCCGTCCTCCCCCCAGGACCTGTGGTGGGGGAGGAGCCCAGGAGAGCTCCCCCTGACCCGTCCTCCCCCCAGGACCTGTGGGGGGTGGGGAGGAGCTTCAGAGAGTTCCCCCCACCCGTCCTCCCCCCAGGACCTGTGGGGGGTGGGGAGGAGCTTCAGAGAATTCCCCCCACCCATCCTCCCCCCAGGACCTGTGGGGGGTGGGGAGGAGCTTCAGAGAGTTCCCCCCACCCGTCCTCCCCCCAGGACCTGTGGGGGGTGGGGAGGAGCTTCAGAGAGTTCCCCCCTCCCTCCAGCCCATCCCCCCCCCCACCTGTGGCTTCCCTACTTTGGCATCACCGCTGACGTCACAGCCTCTACCGAGCGGGCCCACACAGAGGGTAAGCACTCCTCCCACCAGGCGGGCCAGCAGGTGGGCTAGGGCATGAACAGGCCCAGGAGGATGGACAGGAAAGGCAGCCATCCTGTGAGGTTGTGGAGGGTGCTGAGGGCCTTACAAAGGAAGCAAGGGTCAGACGGAGGGTAGAGGACGTCCTGCCTTGGACTCTGGACATGAGGAGCAGGACAGAGGGACCTGGGGGAGGGGGGTGGATAGAGATGAGGGCTAAGTCTGATGTCTAGCCACCCCAGGGAAAGGCCCCTGAGATCTCCCTGCGTAAGTCCCTTCAGGGATGAGGGGTCCCTTTAGTGGTGGGTGGTCTGGCTACTGAGCCTGCTGCCCGCCCTGGAGGTGGGACCTATCAGCTCTCAGACTGACCAAGGCGAGACAGGACAGGAGCCCACCGTGGGCAGGCACAGGCCTCCCTATCCCCTTCACCAGGCCCTCTAACCTCTCAGGCTCTCTGCGGAGGGATGTGTGTGCCAGCAGGTCCCCCTCGGGCTGCATGCCCCGCTCTGCGACCCTGAGGATGGACACATGGGGTCACGCCCCGAGAGTAGGGCAGTACCCACGGCTCCGTGGCCACCCGCCCTGCCTGCCTGCCGCGCCGCCCCCGTCAGGAAGGCTGGGGTGGCACACGTTTTCCTCAGAGTGTGCCAAGGGAAAATGTCAGGCTGGAGCAGAGCACAGAGACATGCACGCATGTGCACACGCATGCGTGTGTACAGTCTACCACCAGCATATGGTTCTGCCTGCTAGCACAGCAGCACACAGAACAAAGGCCAAGTAGACAACTAGAAGCAATTACGTTCCATCTGTACCCACAGTCAGGAACTAACAGACGGCAGGTGTGTGAGCTGTGGGTGAGGCCAGACCTGTAACCTGTTAGACCACAGGGCCAAAACAGTTCTGCTGCGCATGATAGCCCCACGGCTGGGGCACGGGGACCTCCTGCCTCCAGGAGCCCAGGAGGAATGCTGGGCACCTCGGGCCTCGGGAGGGAGGGCCTGGCCCCACACCCCTCCCCCAGTTCTGCCTCACCCCCTGGTCTGCTGCGGCCTTTATCCCCTGCGCTGGTGACCTCCTCTTCTCATAGCAGATGTGGCCAGGTCTATGTGAGCAGCCGGGACAAGACAAACCTTACAAATTACGGTGATGCCCTGTCCGGGTAGTGGCTGCTTTGGAAATGGTGGAACCCTTTGGCCACAAAAGTCAAGGTAAAGTGGTACCAGATGCGCTGCAGTGGCCTCCCTGGGCTATGTGTGCTGCGTCCGGCAGCTAGAGATGGTGAAGAATAGCAGCTACGGTGAGTACCTGCGCCCCCTGTCGACGGTGCAGCGCCCTGGACTTTGTCAGGTCTGAGATCTGTGTGAGTGTCAGCTCCTGGTGCAGGGGCTGTGGGCGTAGCTGGTGGAGGTCTGCGCTGATGGCTGCCCCTCAACCTGAGAGCGTGAGAAGGAGCAGGCTTCTCACCTCCTCACAGCTTCCTGCTCTGTGCACAGGAAGTGGGGTACCAGCATGGACCAATGGTGTTTGACATCTGGGTTCGGAATGGTGTGCTAGAGAAGATGCTTCAAGACCAGCAGGGGACAAGCAAGAGGAAGGCCTGCGCGGTGGGAGAGGGCAGGGCCTCCTCTGAGGATGTGGGGCCAAGGGTCTGGTCCAGCTGAGGTCCACCTTGGACCATGTTGGTGTGCTTGCGTGCTCACCCCAGCCTCTGGGTGGCCTGCACCGGACAGCACACTGAGCAGAGGCTTCTCTCTGCCGTGCTTCAGGTCCTCACCTGCCCCAATGCCTCCTTCACGGACCTTGCTGAGACTGGGTCACGCATTGAGCCAGCCAAGGCAGCTGCCATGGTTGGTGAGTTGGACGCTCCAGGAGTGGGCCTGCACAGAGCCTGGCTAGATCCAAGCTGCCCACGGGCCTTCATTCTTGCCCCGTACGAAGTTACCCACATTTGGGCTACAGCAGCCAGTACTGCCCCATTCTATGAAGACCCTGAGACCCTTGGCCTGGCACAGGTCTCCACAGCCGTGGGACAGCTCCCCCAGGCCTCTCCCTCATTCACAGCATAGACTGGAGAGAAAGCCACCTCAGCCTCCCCGGCCCAGCCAGGGATGGGAGTGCGGACTGCCCAACTTCAGAGCCTGCAAGGACAGACTGGCCGGATCCATGCAGAGGCTCTGCAGTGAGGGTTGTTGGCCAGGGGCCCACCCCACAGCAAAACAACATGTCCTGAGAGATGCCCTTGAGGCTGTCCACAGCAAGAGGACCCAGACACTGAGCCTTCCGTGTGCTGGCCAGGGCGCAGCGTCTGCCCATGGAGGCCTGTTACGGGCATCAGCCCCAGATCTGGTTGACAGTGTGTGAAGAGGGCCAGCTCCTTCCATGTCTTTGTGGAGGACCCACCAGTATTGGGGCGGAGGCTTCCCACGGCAAAGACGTCTTGTGCCACGGTGCCTGGCCTGCAGCAGCTGTTTCCAGCAGCCCCGTGGCGGATGGCTGTCTTGTGGGAGAGGAGAAGCGAGTCTGTGGGCCTCCATTTCAGCCGTGACACAGCCAGCCCCCTGGGGGGACCCGCGCTGCCCTGCCTTCTGCTCCAGAGTCTGACTTCCAGACTGAGCGCGAGGAGCAGGTGCCAGGTGTCCCCCAGCGCGGGGAGGAGCTCCTCCAGGGCGGCCTCCACCCTGGGCACGAGCTCGGGTCCTGGCGTCTGCCCCACACCGGGCCGCGGGGCCCAGGGCCAGCCTCGCAGGCCAGGGCGACCCTCTGGTTTGCTCCCAGGAGGAGGGGCCCCTCCCTGGGCGCCAGGACCCCCCGGACCCCCGCGCTCCCCCCACCCCACACATGCCCCGAAGGCCCCCTCCGGCCCGCGAGGCCATTCCCCGGCCGGGCGCAGGCGCAGGCCGGTGCGCCCCGCTTCCCCGGGTCCCGGGCCGGGTCCGGAGACCGGCGTGGGCTGGTCACTAGAGTTCCACCAGCGACCAGTGGTCGTGCCGAGAGCAGGTGGCCCGGCCCACCCGGCCTCCGCCAGCCCCGCGGGGCGGTGGTGGGCGGGAGGGAAGCAGCTCCAGCCCCGCCCCCCTGCGTCGCGGGGCGGGGCGCCGGAGCCCCGCCCAGGCCTGCGTCACGGGGCGGGGCGCTGCGTCACGGGGCGGGGCCCGGGCCTCCGGTGGGCAGTGCGCTCTGCGGGCCGCAGATCGCAGCGTGACCAGCGCGGCCATGCGGGGCCCGCGTCCGATCCCGCGCGCAGCCCTGAGCCCCAGACCGAGCGCGACCCCCGGCGCGGCGCGGCTCCCCCGGCGGAGGCGGCGGGCGCGGGGCGCGCTCTGAGGCCCGGGGGATGCGCCGCCGCCGCCGCAGCCATGGGCGCCGCCGCCTCCCGGAGGAGGGCGCTGAGGAGCGAGGCCATGTCCTCCGTGGCGGCCAAAGTGCGGTGAGTGCGGGCGGCCGGCGCGCCGCCCGAGCCCGCGGGGCGCCCCGAGGGCCGGGCTCCCGGGCGGGCCGTGCCGGGCGGGCCTGCGGCGCTGACCCGCCCCCCGCCCCCCGCAGGGCAGCCCGAGCGTTCGGAGAGTACCTGTCCCAGAGTCACCCTGAGAACCGCAACGGGGCAGGTAGGGGCGCGTGAGGCGGCTGTGCGGGGGGGGGGGCTCTGCCCCGCGCGCGCCCCGCATCCGCAGGGCTGGCGCCCGCGCACCCGGCCCCGCGCTCAGCAGAGCCCAGCCACCCGTCACCATGGCACCCCCGGCCCGGCCGTTGGCATGGCAGCGGGCCTCCTGGCACCCCCAGGGCTGCGCCGCCGTCTCCGGGGCCAGCTGGTGGGGGGGAGGGGAGGAGCTGGCACCGGCGCATGGGTGCGCCTGCGCCAGGGCAGGGGTGGCCCGCCTGTTCTGTTCGGCAGTAGCCCGGCCTCCCCCTCTGTTTCTCTCCCTCCTTCCCTTTCTCTCCCTCCCTCTCCCTCCCTCCCTCCCCCCTCCCTCATCCCTTCTCCCCCTCCTCTCTGTCTCTGTCTTTCCTGTGTCTCTCTCTCTCTCTCATACACATATGCACACGCACACATGCAAGGGCCTCAGGCTCAGGCAGGAGTAGGAGACTTGGAAATACCTTTCCTGAAATCACCGGGACCAAGGTTTCCGCAGCCCCAGCCCCCACATCAGGCTAGTGCCTGCTGGGTACTCCTTGCCATCCTCATCCGGAGGCTGGGAGGGCTAGCCATCAGGCTAGGAGCTAGCATCAGGCTGGGGGGCTAGCCATCAGGCTGCAGGCTTACAGACGCCTCTTCCCCAGATCACCTGCTGGCTGACGCCTACTCTGGCCACGAGGGGTCCCCTGAGATGCAGCCCGCCCCCCAGAACAAGCGCCGCCTCTCCCTCATCTCCAACGGCCGCTATGAGGGCAGCCTCTCAGAAGAGGCTGCTGGTGGGGAAGCGGCCGCAGAGGGCCCCCAGCCCCGCGTGTACACCATCTCTGGGGAGCCCACCCTGCTGCCCAACCCTGAGGCCGAGTCGATTGAGCTGGCTGTGGTGAAGGGGCGGCGGCAACGAGCACGGCACCCCCACCACCATAGCCAGCCCCTGCGCGCCAGCCCCGGCAGCAGCCGCGAGGACGTCAGCAGGGCATGCCAGAGCTGGGCAGGCAGCCGCCAGGGCTCGAAGGAGTGCCCTGGATGTGCCCAGCCGCCCCCCGGGCCCTCCCCGCAAGCCTTTGGGCTGGAGCAGCCACCTCTGCCCGAGGCCCCCGGCCGCCGCAAGAAACTAGAGAGGATGTGCAGCGTGGATCGAGTGTCTGGTGAGAGGGCCTGGCTCAGGCATGAGCAGGCACGGGGGCATGCTGGGATCACCCAGATCATAGTGTGAAAGTGGAAGTTGGGATTCAGTTCCTCCCCTGGGTGCCACAGGCTCACATCTGTAATCCAAGCTACTCGGGAGGCTCACATTTAGAGGATCAAGGCTCAAAGCTGGCCTGAACAGAAAACTCCAAGAGACTTCAGAAAATCATGGGCTGAGATCACAGGATCATGGTTCAAAGCCAGCCTAGCAAGAATAGTCTAGAGATAAAGACTCAATCTCCACTTAATAACCAGAAAGGTAGAACAGAGCTGTGGCTCAAGTGGTACAGTGCCAGCCAATGAGTGAAAAAGCCAAGCAAGAGCCTAAAGCCTAAAGTTCAAGCCCTAGCACTGGCATGTGTGCGCATGCGCACACACACAGAGCCAAGCTAGAGGAACGACTCAAGTGTGGCGGAACACAAGCGGAGCAAGTGCCAGTCCCTGAGTTCCAGCCCTGGTATTGGCAAAAACAAAAACCCTCAGGCTCCTACTGCCACCCAACCCCGTGAACGGTGGCCCCCCCCACAGTGCTTTAGCAAAATCCTTGCCAGTCCTCCTCAGTGGCTTCTCCCTCCCAGCCCTTGTCCAGAACTGCTTCCTGGGAAAAGGAGCCTGGGAGGAAGGATAGACAGAGCCTACAGCTCAACTGGAAGATTGGACTGTTGGCAACTCTAGAGAGCTGTCTAGGGCCGGGGCCGGAAGACCCTGGGAGCCGCCTCTCCCTGCAGCACTGTTTCCCTGGATGGGCCACCAGGCTCCTGCCCTAGGATCCAGACCACTCCAGACAGGACTGTGGGAAGGGGAGCGTCTTCAAATTGTTCTCCACTCTCAGCCAGGGCCTCTAGCTTATTCGGGTGGGAGTCTCAAGGTGGGAAGCATCTGGCTAGCTGATACCTAAGATGTCTCAAAGGAGACAAAATGCATCCTTTTCACATACTTCTGGAGACAGACCACATTTTGAAAATGTTCCTCAGGTTGAGCAGCTAAAGGGAGAATTAAAACAGAAATGAAAGCCTGAGGTTTTGAGGGTAAATGCTGAGTGGGGCCTACATGGAGACTCTGCCAGCTTCCTCCCTGTTGGGAGAGGACCAGGTATCCTGCCGCCTTGACCCTGCTGCCGCTGGTCCCCTGGACTTGACAGGGAGGGGTCAGGCATCAGGACCCTTGTCTACGCTAGCCACAGACTGTTTCTCTCTGTCTTCCAGATGAGGGCCCCATCCGAACCTGGTTCCCCAAGGAAAACCTTTTCCGCTTCCAGACAGCAACCACAACTATGCAAGCGTGAGTGGAGTGTCTGCCACAAGGGTCCAGTGCCAGTCTGCCTCCTTCTGTGCTCAAGAAAGACTGACAGCCCTACTCCTGTGGCCTCTGAACAGCCGCATGCTCCGTCATATTGGCAGGCCAGGCTGAGGCTGAGTCTGGGGGGGGTGCTGGTGCCCTACCCCCTCTTCTCCCTGTGCCTCCTCACTTCCCTCCCCCATGGCCCCCCACAGACCTGCACAGCCCCTGTGGCTGCCTCAGGGAACCCAGCCTTGAGCTGTCACTGGTGGCACTGGTGGGGTCCGTGGGATGGGGGTGTCTGGGCCTCGTGTGTGCTCTAAACCACAGCCTGTGTGTTTCATGGCCCACACATGATTGACCCAGCGGGTCTTCTGGGAGTCAGCCTTTGCTGCTGGGCCCCCATGCTAAACCCAAAGCAGAAGCCCACCCTCTGCTGCAGAGGTCTGGCCTCTGCAGGTCCAGCCCCCAGCCACTCTGCTCCAGCCCTGCCAGAGCTAGCCCCCAGCCCAGCACAGGTCCAGCCCCCAGCCACTCAGCCACTCTGCTCCAGCCCTGCCAGAGCTAGCCCCCAGCCACTCAGCCACTCCCAGCACTGCCAGAGCTAGCCCCCAGCCCAGCACAGGTCCAGCCCCCAGCCACTCAGCCACTCCCAGCCCTGCCAGAGCTAGCCCCCAGCCCAGCACAGGTCCAGCCCCCAGCCACTCAGCCACTCCCAGCCCTGCCAGAGCTAGTCCCCAGCCACTCAGCCACTCCCAGCCCTGCCAGAGCTAGCCCCCAGCCCAGCACGTGTCCCCTTCCCCAGTGACAGAGGGGACAAACCCAGAGCCCCTGAGGCGGAGGGAAGCCTGGGATGCAGGCTCACTGTGTCTTCTCTCCCACGCTGCCTCTTCCTGCTGTGGCTTCAGCATTTCGTAAGTACCCCACTGGGCGCGTGCGTAAGGACACAGCCATGGTCCCGGGGGACATCCCGGGACCTGGGCCTTCCCTGTGAGGAGTGCCGAGCCACGCGGGCTCCCGTGGGCAGCCAGGCGCTCCCTGTCCCCGTCTGTCAGTCTGTCAGGAGCTGGTCCTCAGACACCCGCCGGGTCCTCTGTGTGTCCCTCTGTCCCCGTGTCTGTGTCCCTCCTGCCTCCAGTCAGGGGCAGTGCTGACTTGCGGCGGTTTCCCAGGGTGTTTAGGGGCTACGCGGAGAGGAAGCGCCGGAAACGGGAGAATGATTCCGCGTCTGTAATCCAGAGGTAGGGCCTGCCAGTCACTCGCCACCAGGGTCTGTCTCTGGCCAGGGCCTCCTGGTCCTGACAGGCCTGGGGGGAAGGGTGGTGGCGACCACTGGCCGGGCCCTGCCCAGGGTCTGTCTCTGGCCGGGCCAGGGCCTCCTGGTCCTGACAGGCCTGGGGGGAAGGGTGGTGGCGATCACTGGCCGGGCCCTGCCCTGGGGACGTGGCAGGAAGGAGAGGCAAGTGGCCAGGCTGCATGTCAGCATGTGGACCCACGCTTTGAGGGTGATTGACAGTTGGACTGCATCCAGCTCACCCACATGCTTGTCCAGACCCGGAGCCCACCACAGTGGGGCCTGGCAAGTCCTGCCCTTCCCGCTCCCACTGATGCAGAGTGTGCCTGAGAGGATTGTCTGTCCATCTTGGACGTGGATCCTTGGCAGGGCACAAAGTTTGGTGGGAGGGGCTCCCGTGGGCGCCAGGTCAACCAGGGATGGAGCATACAGGCTGGCCTGGCTGCTGCAGGGGAAGGGGGGGGAAGCGTCAGCCTCTGCGATGGGGGGCCCAATGGGGCCGGGGTGGGCCCAGCCCCAGGGAAAAGGTACCCGGAACCTGTGCATGCAGCGATGCCTGCCTGAAGTCTCAGCAAGAGCAAAACTGGTGGGAAAGAGTCACGTCACAGGAGCTGCCCCTCTGTTCTGGAACAAAGAGGAGTCTAGAGGGGGTTCAGCAGGATGTTGTCCAGGGTGGGACTTGCCTTTGCATGGCAAAGGAAGGAGAGAGAGGGTCAGGGCGGTGGAGTGAAGGAGAGTAGGGTTCTGGGGTAGGCCTCTGGCCTGCGTGCCGAGGAGAGAGCATTGAGCCTTTGTGTCTTCAGGGCCAGGTGGGCAGGCACTGAGGCCCGTGCTTCTTGGCCCTTATCAGACCTGTGCTTTTTCTACCCTAGAAATTTTCGAAAACACCTGCGCATGGTCGGCAGTCGGAGGGTGAAGGCCCAGAGTAAGACCTGGGGGTGGGGGCGGGGGCAGGGCAGCCCTGCGCTTGGCACCTGGGGCTTTTCCTGGGCCTGGCCGCCTGTGCAGACCCACACCCTGGACCTGCTCCCGCCGCAGGCTTTGCCCTGCTCCCTGCTGGCCCAGGCCCGCTTTCCGCTGGCCTGTCCCAGCCTTGGGCTCTCCGCTGGGCTTGCCTCTCACAGTCCCTACCTTTGACAGGTCCACCTCCTGTCCACACCTGCACGCACGCTGTTCCCTTCAGGCCCCACCCCCAGACCCCTCCCTCAGGAATAGTCCTGAACCATCTCCACCTCTGCCCCGGGCCAGCCACTCCAGAGTCAGTATCCTGGGCCAGCGCAGCCCGTGGCCCTGCCCAGCTCACGAGCTTCCTCCTCCTCCCTGCTCTCCCCTGGACCCCTAGCCTAGGGTCTGAGTCAGCTCTGCTCCATCTGCTCCAGCCCCCGGCTGGCTAATAGGGCTTTTGCTCTCACCACAGCGTTCGCTGAGCGGCGCGAGCGGAGCTTCAGCCGGTCCTGGAGCGACCCCACCCCCACGAGAGCCGACACTTCCCACGACTCCCGAGACAGTAGGTGTCTGGACCTAAGGCAGCCCACCCCCCCAGAGACCTCCCCAGGCCCAGCCCACCCCCCCCAGAGACCCCCCCAGAGACCCCCCAGAGATCCCCCCAGGCCCCACCCATACTCCAAAGAGACCCTCCCAGGCCCAGCCCACCCCCACCAGAGACCCCCCCAGGCCCAGCCCACCCCCCCAGAGACCCCCCCAGGCCCAGCCCACCCCCCAGAGACCCCCTCAGAGATCCCCCCAGGCCCCACCCATACCCCAAAGAGACCCCCCCCCGGCCCAGCCCACCCCCACCAGAGACCCCCCTAGAGGCCCCCCCCAGGCCCAGCCCACCCCCACCAGAGACCCTCAGGCCCAGCCCACCCCCACCAGAGACCCTCCCACCAGAGACCCCCAGGCCCAGCCCACCCCCACCAGACACCCCCCAGGCCCAGCCCACCCCCACCAGAGACCCCCAGGCCCAGTCCACCCCCACCAGAGACCCCCCCAAGCCCAGCCTACCTCCACCAGAGATCCCTCTAGCCCAGCCCACCTCCCACCAGAGACCCCCAGGCCCAGCCCACCTCCCACCAGAGACCCCCAGGCCCAGCCCACCCCCACCAGAGACCCCCCCCAGGCCCAGCCTACCTCCACCAGAGACCCCCCCCAGGCCCAGCCCACCCCCACCAGAGACCACCCCCAGGCCCAGCCCACCTCCTACCAGAGACCCCCCCCAGGCCCAGCCCACCCCCACCAGAGACCCCCCCCAGGCCCAGCCCACCCCCACCAGAGACGCCCCCCAGGCCCAGCCTACCCCCACCAGAGACCCCCCCAGGCCCAGCCCACCTCCTACCAGAGACCCCCCCCAAGCCCAGCCCACCTCCTACCAGAGATCCCTCTAGCCCAGCCCACCTCCCACCAGAGACCCTCTAGGCCCATCCCACCCCCACCAGAGACCCCCCCAGGCCCAGCCTACCCCCACCAGAGACCCCCAGGCCCAGCCCACCCCCACCAGAGACCCCCAGGCCCAGCCCACCCCCACCAGAGAACCCCAGGCCCAGCCCACCCCCACCAGAGACTCCCAGGCCCAGCCCACCCCCCCAGAGAACCTCCCCAGGCCCAGCCCTGCCAAGGTCTCATGACAGTACTGCTAGGCTTCTGCGCTTATGCTGACTGAGCCTCAGTTTACCTCTCTGTGAGATGGGGATGCCTGGCATCTTCAGTCTCTTAGGAGGGGTTAACTAAGGGACCCAGATTGCAGTCATAATGGGCAACAGTGGGCAGCGACCTTGCTCCGTTGTGCGGCTTGGGCTCTGGGTGGTGGGCCTCGGTCCGGGTGACCCCTCCTGCCTCCCAGGCAGTGATCTGCAGAGCTCACACTGCACCCTGGACGAGGCCTGTGAGGACCTAGACTGGGACACGGAGAAGGGCCTGGAGGCCGTGGCCTGCGACACTGAGGGTTTCTTACCACCCAAGGTCATGGTAAGCCTGGCTTCTAGGGCCTTCTCCATGCCCTTTCCTCCGACTTCCCTGTCTGGGGGCGGGGCTCTCACTTTTGCTATAGGAGGGTCTTAGGGCCTACACTTTGACCATGGTGGGGAGCGGGGGCAGGACTTCACCTTGGCTTAGGCTCTGCCTTACTCTGCAGGTCATAGGGACTGCACCTTGGCTATGGGGTGTCTTTTATTTGGTTTTGGGGGTTTGCCGGGTTCACACTGCTGCCCAGCTCTGGGATGGACTGAGCACTGAGCAACACCTGTCTCTCCAGCTCATCTCCTCCAAGGTGCCAAAAGCTGAGTACATCCCCACCATCATCCGCAGGGACGATCCCTCCATCATCCCTATTCTCTACGTGAGTGCCTATGCCTCCATCATCCCCATTCATTACCTGAGCACCTGTCCCTCCATCATCCCTGTTCTCTATGTGAGTGCCTATGCCTCCATCATCCCTGTTCTCTATGTGAGCGCCTGTCCCTCCATCATCCCTGTTCTCTATGTGAGTGCCTGTCCCTCTATCATCCCTGTTCTTTATGTGAGTGCCTGTCCCTCCATCATCCCTGTTCTCTATGTGAGTGCCTATGCCTCCATCATCCCCATTCATTACCTGAGCACCTGTCCCTCCATCATCCCTGTTCTCTATGTGAGTGCCTATGCCTCCATCATCCCCATTCATTACCTGAACACCTGTCCCTCCATCATCCCTGTTCTCTACATGAGTGCCTGTCCCTCCATCATCCCTGTTCTCTATGTGAGCGCCTGTCTCTATCATCCCTGTTCTCTATGTGAGCGCCTGTCCCTCCATCATCCCTGTTCTCTATGTGAGTGCCTGTCCCTATCATCCCTGTTCTCTACATGAATGCCTGTCTCTATCATCCCTGTTCTCTACATGAGTGCCTGTCCCTCCATCATCCCTGTTCTCTATGTGAGTGCCTGTCTCTATCATCCCTGTTCTCTATGTGAGTGCCTGTCCTTATCATCCCTGTTCTCTACATGAGTGCCTGTCCCTCCATCATCCCTGTTCTCTATGTGAGTGCCTGTCTCTATCATCCCTGTTCTCTATGTGAGTGCCTGTCCTTATCATCCCTGTTCTCTACATGAATGCCTGTCCCTCCATCATCCCTGTTCTCTACATGAGTGCCTGTCTCTATCATCCCTGTTCTCTATGTGAGCGCCTGTCTCTATCATCCCTGTTCTCTATGTGAGTGCCTGTCCCTCCATCATCCCTGTTCTCTATGTGAGTGCCTGTCTCTATCATCCCTGTTCTCTATGTGAGCGCCTGTCCTTATCATCCCTGTTCTCTATGTGAGTGCCTGTCCCTCTATCATCCCTGTTCTCTATGTGAGTGCCTGTCCCTCCATCATCCCTGTTCTCTATGTGAGTGCCTGTCCCTCTATCATCCCTGTTCTCTATGTGAGTGCCTGTCCCTCCATCATCCCTGTTCTCTACATGAGCGCCTGTCCCTATCATCCCTGTTCTCTACATGAGTGCCTGTCTCTATCATCCCTGTTCTCTATGTGAGCGCCTGTCCCTATCATCCCTGTTCTCTGTGAGTGCCTGTCCCTCCATCATCCCTGTTCTCTACGTGAGTGCCTGTCTCTATCATCCCTGTTCTCTACATGAGTGCCTGTCTCTTATCATCCCTGTTCTCTATATGAGTGTCTGTCTCTATCATCCCTGTTCTCTGTGAGTGCCTGTCCCTCCATCATCCCTGTTCTCTACGTGAGCGCCTGTCTCTATCATCCCTGTTCTCTATATGAGTGCCTGTCTCTATCATCCCTGTTCTCTATATGACTGCCTGTCCCTCCATCATCCCTGTTCTCTATGTGAGTGCCTGTCTCTATCATCCCTGTTCTCTATGTGAGCGCCTGTCCCTATCATCCCTGTTCTCTGTGAGTGCCTGTCCCTCCATCATCCCTGTTCTCTACATGAGTGCCTGTCCCTCTGTCATCCATTCTCTATATGAATGCTTGCCCTGCCTGCCCATTCTCATGTAGACCCTAGGGTGCTAGTCCCTCCTGCCCTTTTGCTGTAGGCCTACCTCCCTGGTACCCAAGTGCCTGGTGGGGGGCTCCCAGGATCTCTGACTTGTGCCCTGTCTGTTCCTAGGACCACGAGCACGCCACCTTCGAGGACATCCTGGGTAGGTGGCCTCGGCCCCAGTCATTTGCTGGTGGGAAGGTGGCCCTTTGTGAGGAGGCGAGGGGTGGCACTTACCATTCTTTTTCCACAGAGGAGATAGAGAAGAAACTGAATGTCTATCATAAGGGAGCCAAGATCTGGAAGATGCTGATTTTCTGCCAGGTACTCTCCATGCCCTCTTGTTAGAGGAGGCCAGTGTAGCCATGAAGGCAAGCCCAGGGTCACATGCGTGTCTGTGTTATGGGAGGCAGGGTCTGCATACACGTGTGCTGTGTGTGGACACCTCATGCAGCCTCTCTGGCCCCTGGAGGCCTAACCATGGCCTCTTACAGGGAGGCCCTGGACATCTCTATTTGCTCAAGAACAAGGTCGCCACGTTTGCCAAAGTGGAGAAGGAAGAGGACATGATCCAGTAAGTGGGGGCAGGAGAGGGCTGGGCCCCATGGCACACCTTCCAAGAACTAGCACCACAATGTCCCCTGCGGAGCTCAGCCCTGGAAGCCTGGGGCCTGGACTGAGGCCTGAGACCCGCACTCCCCCTCCAGCTTCTGGAAACGCCTGAGCCGCCTGATGAGCAAAGTGAACCCCGAGCCGAATGTCGTCCACATCATGGGCTGCTACATCTTGGGGAACCCCAACGGGGAGAAGGTAGGGGGCCAAGCCTGGGTGAAGAGGGGAACGGGCTGAGCTGGGCTGGAGGTGCAGACCCCTGACCCCACACAACCAGACCCTCTAACCCGACACTCACAGCCGGACCCCCTAACCCCACACTCACGGCCAGACCCCCTGACTCCACACTCACAGCCAGACCTGACCCCACACTCACAGCCAGACCTCCTGACCCCACACTCACAGCCAGACCTCCTGACCCCACATAGCCAGACCTCCTGACCCCACACCCACAGCCAGAACTCCTGACCCCACACTCACAGCCAGACCCCCTAACCCCACACTCACAGCCAGACCCCCTGACCCCACAATCACAGCCAGACCTCCTGACCCCCCACAACCAGACCCTCTAACCCCACACAGCCAAACCCCCTGACCCCACACTCACAGCCAGACCCCCTGACCCCACACTCACAGCCAGACCCTCTAACCCCACACAGCCAAACCCCCTGACCCCACACTCACAGCCAGACCCCCTGACCCCACACTCACAGCCAGACCCCCTGACCCCACACTCACAGCCAGACCCCCTGACCCCACACTCACAGCCAGACCTCCTGACCCCACACTCACAGCCAGACCCCCTGACCCCACACTCACAGCCAGACCCCCTGACCCCACACTCACAGCCAGACCCCCTGACTCCACACTCACAGCCAGACCCCCTGACCCCACACAACCAGACCCTCTAACCCCACACTCACAGCCAGACCTCTGACCCCACTCTCACAGCCAGACCTCTGACCCCACTCTCACAGCCGCCTCCTCTTGCAGCTTTTCCAGAACCTCAGGACCCTCATGACCCCTTACCGGGTCACCTTTGAGTCTCCCCTGGAGCTGTCTGCCCAAGGTGAGTTAGCCCGGGATGGAGCAGAGGGACCACTACAGGCCTGTACCCTGCAGCCCCAGCCCTGGGGGTCACAGCAGGCCCATCCCCGAGCCCAAGCCCAGGACGCCCTCTCCCCAGGGAAGCAGATGATCGAGACTTACTTTGACTTCCGCCTGTACCGCCTGTGGAAGAGCCGCCAGCACTCGAAGCTGCTGGACTTTGACGACGTCCTGTGAGGCGCACAGGCCGCGCCCAGTGCCACGGACGCCTGCCCTGGTCCGGGAAGCACAGGGCGGTGCGGCCCATCGCTGGTCCAGAGCCTCTTCAGGGACCCTCAGGACGCTGCTCAGGTCCTGCTCGGGGCCTGGTCCTGGCGGCGCCAGTGGGCCACAGAGCCTTCAGTCCTGAGGGCCTGGAGGGACGGTGGACTCCTGGTGGCCAGGCACTGACCTGCCCCGCCTCGCCTGGAGGCAGCAGTGTTGAGAATCCCCTACGTGGGGTTATAGAAATAAGTGCAATTTTTACAGCCCTGAAACAGTTAGAAGGGAAGCCGAGTTGCTAGCTATCTGGTTCAGCTCTGTGCCAGGCGCCACAGGGCTCAGCCCCGTGTGTCTTCAGGTCTCTCTCCAGCCCCTCAGCCCTGCCGTATTTGATCACCAGCACCAGGGTGGCCCCTACGCGTGACACAGCGCTGCCCCGCTGCCCAGCCTGGCCCTGGCCACTCCGGCCAGCGGTCAGCTCCCACCCCTCTTGCCGCCCGCTGCTCACTCTGACCTCAGTCGACACCGGGCCTGGCGAGGGGCAGCCTGGGCAGAAGGAAAAGCCTGGCCCCCTCTTCTTGTTGGGGGCGCTGGGTTGGCGCCCCCACCTCCAAGCCCACTCATCTCCTCACCGCTGCTGAGTTCAGCTTTTGCCAGCCCCAGCCTGGAGGGCCTGGGCCCCGGCCCAGAGGCTCGGCAGGGGCCCGGCAGGGCCTGGCAGGACCTGAGCCCGACGGCCAGACTCGCTGAGCTGGGCAGTGCGGTCTGGACCCAGCACCGGCCCAAGAGCTGAGTCGCTGGCTGGCTGTGGGGGTCCCTTGTATATAGTTGGGGTTTGGGGGCTGGCCCCCCTTTTTCAGAGCCTGGGGCCCGAGGGCACCTGGCTGTGCCCCTGGCCAAGGGGGTGGGGGCTGGGCTCTGAACAGTGTACGATGTCCCCTAGAGTGACCATTAAACCTGACCCTCTGCTGCGGCCAGTGTCTGCTCGCTGGCCTCATGTCCTGGGCCAGGCTGGGGAGCGCAGTTCTGAGCGTGCCGGGCATGGGGGAGGAGAGGGGCGGGGCAGAAAGGCCCTTGGGGAGGGCTCCCTCAGCCCTGCGACAACTCCACCCGGACATGGCAGAAGGCTGGCCACAGGTGGAGGGCGTCTGGCAGCCCTGGGCACAGAGCCCAGGCAGCCGCAGGCCGGGCCCCCCGGGGAGGCTCCACGGTGGTCCACGGCCCACCCCATCCTGTCCTGTCCCGCTACTGAACTCACCACCCAGGCCCTGGAAGAGCATCCAGACCTCCCTGTGGCCTCAGGCCCTGCCACCCCAGGGCTGGCTGCGCCGAAGCCCCCATGCCGCCTCTGCCCAGAGCACCGGAGGTGTGGCAAGAAGAGACCACTCCATGGGGCTGGGAAGGTGGCTCAGTGGAGAGCGCTTGCCTTGCATGCCTGAGGCCCTGGGTTCCATTCCTCAGCACCACATAAGCAAAAAGAAAAAAGCCAGAAGTGGCGCTGTGGCTCTAGCTGTGGCACTAGCCTTGAGCTGAAGAGCTGAGGGACAGCGCCCAGGCCCAGAGTTCAAGCCCCACGACAGGACCCAAAAAAAAAAAGAGACCACTCCACTCTGTGCATCTCCATGCCCACTGGGGGCTGGGGGAGAAGGCGCCAGAGGTGAGGGTGGGGTCCGCAAGGTGCTCCTGGGCCCCCAAGCACCCACCCACCCACTGCCTGCTGCAGTGGGAACAAGGGCAGCCGAGCAGACAGGTGGGCAGCAGTCCTGGCCACGCGGAGGACAGCCCAGTGTGTCCTTTCCCAGCTGCGCCCAGGGCACAGGCTCAGCCAGACCCGAGGCCAGTGACCCCAAGCATGCCACGCTGCAAGGGTCAGTGCCTCGAGACACCACCACAACTGGAAGGTGGTATGCCCCTCCCTCCACACACACCCCTCCCTCCACACACACCCCTCCCTCCACACACACACACACACACACACACCCCTCCCTCCACACACACCCCCACCCTCCACACACACACACACACACACACACACCCCTCCCTCCACACACACACCCCTCCACACACACACACCCCTCCCTCCACACACACCCCTCCCTCCACACACACACACACACACACACACCCCTCCCTCCACACACACCCCACCCTACACACACACACACACACACACCCCTCCCTACACACACACCCCACCCTCCACACACACACACCCCTCCCTCTACACACCCCTCCCTCCACACACACACACCCCTCCCTCCACACACACACACCCCTCCCTCCACACACACACACCCCTCCCTCTACACACACACCCCTCCCTCCACACACACACACCCCTCCCTCCACACACACACACCCCTCCCTCCACACACACACACCCCTCCCTCCACACACACACACCCCTCCCTCTACACACACACCCCTCCCTCCACACACACCCCTCCCTCCACACACACACAAACACACACACCCCTCCCTACACACACCCCTCCCTCCACACACACACACCCCTCCACACACACACACCCCTCCACACACACCCCTCCACACACACACACCCCTCCCTCCACACACACACACCCCTCCCTCCACACACACCCCACCCTCCACACACACCCCTCCCTCCACACACACCCCTCCCTCCACACACCCCTCCCTCCACACACACCCCACCCTCCACACACACACACCCCTCCACACACACACACCCCTCCACACACACACACCCCTCCACACACACACACCCCTCCCTCCACACACCCCTCCCTCCACACACACCCCACCCTCCACACACACACACCCCTCCACACACACACACCCCTCCACACACACACACCCCTCCCTCCACACGCACACACACAACCCTCCCTCCACACACACCCCACCCTCCACACACACACACCCTCCACACACACCCCTCCACACACACACACCCCTCCACACACACACACCCCTCCCTCCACACACACCCCTCCCTCCACACACACACACACACACACACCCCTCCCTCCACACACACCCCCACCCTCCACACACACACACACACACACACACACCCCTCCCTCCACACACACACCCCTCCACACACACACACCCCTCCCTCCACACACACCCCTCCCTCCACACACACACACACACACACACACCCCTCCCTCCACACACACCCCACCCTACACACACACACACACACACACCCCTCCCTACACACACACCCCACCCTCCACACACACACACCCCTCCCTCTACACACCCCTCCCTCCACACACACACACCCCTCCCTCCACACACACACACCCCTCCCTCCACACACACACACCCCTCCCTCTACACACACACCCCTCCCTCCACACACACACACCCCTCCCTCCACACACACACACCCCTCCCTCCACACACACACACCCCTCCCTCCACACACACACACCCCTCCCTCTACACACACACCCCTCCCTCCACACACACCCCCTCCCTCCACACACACACAAACACACACACCCCTCCCTACACACACCCCTCCCTCCACACACACACACCCCTCCACACACACACACCCCTCCACACACACCCCTCCACACACACACACCCCTCCCTCCACACACACACACCCCTCCCTCCACACACACACCCCACCCTCCACACACACCCCTCCCTCCACACACCCCCTCCCTCCACACACACCCCACCCTCCACACACACACACCCCTCCACACACACACACCCCTCGACACACACACACCCCTCCCTCCACACACCCCTCCCTCCACACACACCCCACCCTCCACACACACACACCCCTCCACACACACACACCCCTCCACACACACACACCCCTCCCTCCACACGCACACACACAACCCTCCCTCCACACACACCCCACCCTCCACACACACACACCCTCCACACACACCCCTCCACACACACACACCCCTCCACACACACACACCCCTCCCTCCACACACACACACCCCTCCCTCCACACACACCCCTCCCTCCACACACACACACCCCTCCACACACACACACCCCTCCCTCCACACACACACACCCCTCCCTCCACACACACACACCCCTCCCTCCACACACACACACCCCTCCCTCCACACACACACACCCCTCCCTCCACACACACACACCCCTCCCTCCACACACACACACTCCTCCCTCCACACACACACCCCTCCCTCTACACACACACACCCCTCCCTCCACACACACACACCCCTCCCTCCACACACCCCTCCCTCCACACCCACCCCTCCTCCACACACACACACCCCTCCCTCCACACACACCCCTCCCTCCACACACACCCCTCCCTCCACACACACACACACACACCCCTCCCTCCACACACACCCCTCCCTCCACACACCCCTCCCTCCACACACACACACCCCTCCACTCACACACACCCCTCCCTCCACTCACACACACCCCTCCCTCCACTCACACACACCCCTCCCTCCACTCACACACACCCCTCCACACACACCCCTCCCTACACACACACACACCTCCCTACACACACACACACCCCTCCCTCCACACACACACACACACACACACCCCTCCCTACACACACACACACCTCCCTACACACACACACACCCCTCCCTCCACACACACACACACACACCCCTCCCTACACACACACACACCTCCCTACACACACACACACCCCTCCCTCCACACACACACACACACACACCCCTCCCTCCACACACACACACACACACCCCTCCCTCCACACACACACACACACACACCTCTCCCTCCACACACACCCCTCCCTCCACACACACACACACACACACCTCTCCCTCCACACACACCCCTCCCTCCACACACCCCTCCCTCCACACACACACACCCTCCACACACACCCCTCCCTCCACACACACACACCCCTCCCTCCACACACACCCCTCCCTCCACACACACACACCCCTCCACACACACACACCCCTCCCTCCACACACACACACCCCTCCACACACACCCCTCCCTCCACACACACCCCTCCCTCCACACACACACACCCCTCCACACACACACACCCCTCCCTCCACACACACACACCCCTCCCTCCACACACACACCCCACCCTCCACACACACACACCCCTCCCTCCACACACACCCCTCCCTCCACACACACACACCCCCTCCACACACACCCCTCCCTCCACACACACCCCTCCCTCCACACACACACACCCCTCCCTCCACACACACCCCTCCCTCCACACACACACACCCCTCCACACACACCCCTCCCTCCACACACACCCCTCCCTCCACACACACACACCCCTCCCTCCACACACACCCCTCCCTCCACACACACACACCCCTCCACACACACCCCTCCCTCCACACACACCCCTCCCTCCACACACACACACTCCTCCCTCCACACACACACACCCCTCCCTCCACACACACCCCTCCCTCCACACACACACACCCCTCCACACACACACACCCCTCCCTCCACACACACACACCCCTCCCTCCACACACACCCCTCCCTCCACACACACACACCCCTCCCTCCACACACACCCCTCCCTCCACACACACCCCTCCCTCCACACACACCCCTCCCTCCACACACACC